ACTGTCGTCGTTCACTCAGGTATGACTGTATCCAGCATAGTGCGGTATCAGTCACTCCATAAGAGTGTTCCAGACGTTTATAAAGTATGCCATGGTTGATGACGTCAAATGCAGCTGACAAGTCCAGCATGACAAGCACCGCTCTGCACTTGTTATCCAATGCAGAAGCTATATCACTATGTACACGTAGGAGGGCCGTCTCAGTAGAGTGTCCCATGCGGTAGGCCGATTGCATGTTGTCATGGAGACTGTTTGCATGGAGATGAACCTCTAAATGTCGGGACACAACCTTCTCCAAGATCTTAGACAGAAAAGGCAGATTTGAAACTGGGCGGTAGTTTTTGAACTCCTCCTTGTCCATTCCAGGCTTTTTTAACAATGGTCTGACATGTGCCTTCTATGGACCTGGCAGTTTAATATGGACGTTATTTGAAAAAGTTTAGATATGTACACGCACATGTGTACCCTCCCTCAACAAAGAACATTTGTCCAAGACCAGTTACACACAGCTTACATGTTTACACTTGCAATGCAGGGGATGGTTTTTGAAGAGAGTTACATGTACATGGTCTGCTGGAATATACTTCATTTTATATGCAGGTACATGTATAATTATCAAACAATGCATGATAATCAATGAAAAGGGTTGTAAACCCTTTCAACACTGTAGATTATAATGGACTCATCCAGATAAATGTATGGTAGAGTCTACTAAGCTACCTAGGGGTGAAAGGGTTGATCACAGATGTGATATTTCTGTTGAGCTTTAACATGATTACAATGATTTTGCTTACACATGTTACAGTTAAAAGATTTTTTTTTTTATCTGAAAATGTACCTTTTTTCTCAGCACTATTCTTTAAATGCAAGGTTTCAAATTCTGCCATGTGCTACAGTCAAGTCTTATGATTTACACAAAGCAGAATTTTAGCCCTGATGTTTCATTTTTATCTGGGACTGCATAATAATGATTCCTTTGTGGAACTGAAGGAAATATCTAAACTCTTCGTGGGTACGCTTCAAACAAAAATATTTTATAAAATTTCTATGTTAAGTTACATATAAGGACCAAAATATGTGGGACTGAAGGTTATATCCAAACTTATTGGTGGGTACTGTCAAAAAAAATTATAAATATATTTGATAAAAGTTCTGTGTTATGGGACATATTATGACCAAAATATCTTGCATATTTAAGCCATAGAAAATTAAGGATACATGTACCATATCACATGCACTTTCCCCCTGTGGTCTGATGAAAAACATGTGGAAAAAAGGTCAGAAACATGCATCATATCAAAGAAGGAGCTGCTCTAAATATATTTTGGTAAATAAATCAAATATACATTCATTCTGACAAAAAGCACATTGAATGAACACAAAAAGTAATAAACTTGATTAAGGTTTGTTTTTTAACCAATTTTAAAACTTGGATGCAACACATAATGATTAAAATCAAATTCTTGACAGCATACCTAGAGACTAAGATGTAACACTAAACTTTGGACACATTTGCTCCTTAAGAAGCTGAGGAATTTAAACATACTGTATTTTGTTTTCTCGCACCTCAGACAGAGATATCCCATGCCATACCCCATGCTAGATTTTTCTATCTCGTCTGATCTGTCTTGCACCTTTATTTGACATTTAGCAGAATTTTACACTGCGATGTATTCATCCACGCGTTAACTGCTTGAAATTGACAATCTGCATTGTAAATGCTCTGTTTTGTTTTCATATGTATAGTTTTGATGTTGTAGATAAAATATAAGAGGCCCAATGGGCCTTAATCGCTCACCTGGCATTAATCTCACACCTGTAATCTAAAAAGTGGGCTAAAATACAACTACAGGCAGTATATCAGTGTGTGATTCATAAGAACCTATTAAAAGATTTAAACATAAGACGCCTGTGACCTTGAATGTCGAACAAGGACATTATGTTGAAAGTGTATCAAGGTCATTTATTTGAACAAACTTGGTAGTCCTTCATCCCAGCATGCTACAGGCCCAATTTCAGTGCCCTGGGCCTTTTGGTTATTGAGAAGCGGTTTGACGATTTTAACATATTTGACCCCTTTGACCTTGAAAGTGGGTCAAGGTCATTTATTTGAACAAACTTTGTAGCCCTTGATTCCAGCATGATACTGGCCAAATATCATGATCCTAGGCCTTTTGGTTACTGAAAAGAAGTTGTTTAAAGTAAAAAGTTGATGCCGGACGATGGATGGACGGACAGACAGACGGATGCCGCACCATGGCATAAGCTCACTTGCCCTTCGATCAGGTGAGCTAATAATCTACACTGTGAAATACGTTGTCATCTATGACAGAACAGACTACATTTTTACGCGGAAGCATTCAAATGTAGCTTAAGTAGTGAAGAGGTCATTATCATTTGAGGCCCCAGACGGGATACTTGAAGTTTTTAACGAAATTAAATTTTTTTTCAAGCTAAAAGATGCGAGAAAAAAAATCAAGTATCGGGCTAAGATTCTGTAACATCCCAACCTCGGCTTACGCCTCAGTTGGTATTTTGTTACAGAATCTTAACCCTCGACTGCGATAACCCGATCTCGCTCAGTTACAGGTAATAGATTTTATTAATCAATTACAGAAAGATTTTTTATCATTGAAAAAACGATGTTTGGCTCAGAGAAAATCAATACATTTATAATGGTGTCTCGTACATAGTGTTTCATCTTAGTTTAGATTATAATTGATTTTTTTTTTCATTTCAAAGTAAAGAACTTTCTTTTCCTTTTGATATAATGCTACAGATAAGACCTAGTTTCCAATACATCATGATTTCATAAAAAAAAAATAGATTTAGTTCTCAATTTCAGAGTGGCTAAGATGTAACACAAATTTCATGACAACAAATTCTTGGTCATATCTCACATGAAGAACTTACATGAGATCAAATATGGACCCAATATTAAGTGTATCACATGGACTGGTGTCTTCAAGGTCATCCAGCAAATGTATTATCTCCCTTGGATTACTGCTGAAGTCTCGAACCTGTCAACAAAGATGCCAATAACATTCAGAAATTTAGCTCAAACATTAAGAAGTCTGTCTGTCAACAGACTCTTTCACTTTCAGTGATTATCTGTTATACAGGTTTATTATTGCAGGCAACTCTTACATGGATTCGCTTTCAGGTGGCTACTCAAATACGACTCAACATTTATTTTACAAACTGAAGATATATCCATTTTATCACATTTGCTTTGGTACATTTAATGAGTAAGTTAAAGTGTTTACTACAAGTACAAGCAATCATGTTTGTATTGACTTTGACCAAAAACTGCAGTGACCCCTCAATGTGAAAACATTTGATACTTCATGAGCATAATATCTTGCTGGGAGACCTAGTTTTTTTTATTAAGGCTTCAGTGTCAACAATGAATGTAAAACCATTTTTTTTCCTTTTATTGTACAAAGCAGAATCTGAAAATTAAAATGAAATTTATACAGGTACAAATGTACCAATTTTCTTACACATGTCAGTTCCAAGAGTTATAGACTTTATATACCTACCCACACAGCATTTTCTTGTAAGATGATTAAAGCATACTGATGCTTTTTGTTGATTCTGCTTTTACTTTGCAGGAATAATCTCAATGCTCGCTTAATCAACTTCAATGGGGTCCATTTATCTCTGAAATGCAATATCAAGAATAAATTTCTTTAAGAAATCTGATGTTATATAGCAGGTACAAAAAGAATTACATCTGCATATAAATCATGGGTGCAAATCAACCAACTATTAAAGAAAATTTTCAGACAAAGATTGACCAATTTTTGTAATTACACAATGTAGAAAAGCTTTAACAAATTACCAGAAGTTTATCTTAAATATCCCAGTGATTTGTAAATGAAAAGCAGCAATCTTCTTCACCATATTTATATTCTTATTGTTTCTTTTTCTTTCAAATGAATTAAAGGCAATAAATTTTAGTACATCACTTTCTTGATGTCAAAGAAAATAGATATATGCAATACTATATATGGATTTTGAAAGTTATTTAGTAAGTTTGCAGCTATGCTGGAATCAGAGTCATGGTTAATTATTTATACATGTTCTTAAAAACAATTAGATCAACAATGAACTGCTGGTAAAGTCTTCATCGTAAACATACAAATCAGACATTCACACACATATATAATATACATATGTCAAGTGCTAGTAGGTGATTGCTTCAAACTTGTTTTTGAATCGGTTCTGTCTCAAATTTGTAGAGTAGATCTTTTGGAGGATCTTAATTTTTCTAAGGTAAGAAACATTTAGTTTATGAACGTCTAAGAAACTGGGCCTGAAACGTTCAGTATATACATATATGTTCAGTATATATACAGATGTGTGATTTCAGATACTGTGGTGTATTTATGATAAGATACTGGGTACATCTATTTCAATTTTGGTTGATGTCATAACAAATAGAATTTTTACAAAAGTGAATATACTGTGATATAATAACAGATGTCACACATGATATTTGACAGAAATAGTATGTAGCGGAACTGGACTGGGTTGATTGTCAGCAATCGATCAACGAGTACAGCGTCCATCTCGAGGTCAGAGGGTTCCGGGTTCAAACCAGGTCTGGCTGTGCATTTCTTTCTCCTGTAACAAAATTGGCGAGCTTGCCAACCGTTGTTTCAAGCAGTTGGTAAATGCTTGACAAAAGAATACCCAAATCTGGGTTGTAAATATTGTTATCTTTGAAGGGGAAGGCTTATAAAAAAAGGAGGGAGGAATGTATCGGAACTGAACTGGGTCGATCGTAGGTGACCAGATAGCTCAATTGGCAGAGCATCTGTCTAGATTTTGGAGGGTCCTTAGTTCGAATCCCAGTCTGGCCATGCATTTATTTATTTCCTGATACAAATATATACTTACCCTGATCTAGACCTAAAGGTCACTTTATCCATCTCAGCACTGAGATCCAGGCATATAATCTATGAAAAAATGTAAACATCATCTGAATGTTGTGGATTATGGGAAAGATAAAACAATTTCATATAATAATATACTTAGAGATGACCATGCTGTGTACACAAGTTTGCCATTGTTCAAACAATCATCTGATTTGGAGGTTGGGGGCAGGGGAAGTAATACAGATGAAATCTTTGGCCACCTATAGCTACAGCAGTGTCATCCAAACACTTGAGTTTACACAATCATCTCATCACCCAAACAGATAAAATCCCAGGTAATCTGCAGCAGTTATATAATTAATACCCATTATTTCATCCACATGCTCTTGAAACAACAGTCCCTGTGGTTATCTGTTATTTTATTCGTGACCGTATTAGACTTAAAAAAGTATCACAAAATATCAGTGATTGTATTTGCAAGTTCAAAAACTATTATCTTTTTACCATACTGTACTTATCATTCAAAATTGTAATATTGGTTTCAGCTCAACTTCTCTGAGTATAACATTGTTTCTTCTCATTGAAGTAGTAGTTATGGTACAATTATTTTACGAGATGGCATTATTTTATTGGCACATATATGGATCCAGCCCAGAGTTGATTGAAGGTATTTTCATAAGGCTGAATAAGTGTCACCCTAGAAAAATACTAGCCACTTCCTACCGACTCGGCTAGGGAGAATTTCTCTTTACGTTAGAGTGCAAGACTAGTAAACCAGAGGCCCAAGGTTTGACTACTGACGGAGGCATTGAAAAAAATAATGACCTCGAGCTCTGTTACATTGGCGCACACGTAGGGACCAGGGAGATTTGACAAAAATACATAGCGATACTTGCAAAGGAATCGCTATGACCCCTGGAAAACTCGGGACACGTTTTTTCCTGGAGGGGGGAGTATGTCACCCTGGCAAAATACTAGCCGCTTCCTGCCAACCCGGCTAGGGAGAATTTCTCTTTAGCTCATTCGGTAGAGCATAAGACTAGTAAACCAGAGGTCCCAGGTTCAACACCTGGTGGAGTCATTGAAAAAATGACCTCTGTTACATATCTATATGCTTATTATTGTTAACTAATTGCTTGACAGCAAGGATTTAATCATTTTATTTGTTAAAGTTCACATACATGATATAGTTACCTTGGAGTCAAAATGTACAGCTGTAATAGCCAAAGCTGTACACGCCACGGGGTATTTTTGACATTGAATTGGTATGAAGATAAGTTAATACAGATTGGGAGGGTAATTTTGTAGTTGATTTGTGATAAATAGCCATCTCGTATCTTATCTTCAAAACAATGTCAACAAGGCCCTGTAAGATTTTATTTCGATTTATAGAACTCTTACAATTTTCTCTTGACAGTTGACTCTGGGACATGTAAGTTCAAGTAAATCATCCTGGCTTGAATCCGAGTCCTTGTTATCTTGGTTGGTCTGTAGGTCTAGTTGATGATGCTGTTCAGGTGGTGATTCTGAGTTACTTCCCTTGTGTTGTGCTCTGGCCGTAGATGCAAACAGGGCATCGTTTTGGATGTCGTCTGCTAAAAGAGGGTTTTCCGTTATATCATATTCTTGAAATGTCAATCTCGATGAAGTATCAGTGTTTTCAGGAGGGCTTCCTGTCTCCATTGTGGACATTGCACGTATCAGTCACCCACAAGACACCTTTCGATACTGTCTCACTTCACTCTTCTTCCTCCATCGTTTTTCCTGTTGTACTCTCTAAACCAGTAATTACATTATGTAAATTACGAAAGGATTGTGTAAATAAGAAAAATAGTAACCTTTATAGATAAAGATAGATTTTATATAAACTAAATGATGTTCTTTCTTCGTTATTTCCAGACGGTAATATAGGCATGGAATAAGTATTTTTTGTTCGAGATTAATGACCGAGACAAGTGTCATGGCCGAAATCCACTGATAGAAGACACTGTAGAGAAAAAGAAGGAGTAAATAGAGGTTATTTGGAGACATTATTTAATATAACCTCCGTTTCTTGTATAACAATATAGTATTCCAAATCCAATCACTTTTAATATATTAACAGAAAAATGATGTTTAGTATACGCCTTCGTCTCGGGCACATTTGGAGTCTGGATCTAGTTTCATGCAGCCAATGCGTGTTATAAAAAGGTGTATTCTATGTTGTAAAATTTGAACAGTAAGTTAATTTGGTGTCGTATATGTTGTGGTATAGAAACGCGACAGTAGATACATGTATTCAAATGTAATAATCTATACTAATAAGATCCATAAATGCATATGACAGACTCAAGCTCTTTAAAAGTTATAATTAAATCGACAAATATTACCTAAAAATGCTCTCCAACTGTCTAAATGGCCATTCAACTAATATTTGAGTTCATGGATGGTCAACTCGGTCTACAGCTCTATGGGGTGTCAGGTCGTATCGGTAGCAAGACGAAAGTCGTTTTGGGACTTTTTTCGGGTCGTTTCGGGACANATGCCGTTTAAACAATAATATACACATCAATTTCAAAATTATCAAGAGATTTAAAGTTTTCATCCAAAGTGTCACATTCAGAAAACGATTGTTTGGTTTGATTAAACTTTAAACCAATGAAAATAAAGGTAGAGAAATTACAATATCTCAGTATTTCTTTGGTACGGTGTTTTAGCCCGGGTCCGGGAACGGCGTACAAGATTTACCTACCACCGGTGTAGCTGCCTTCGATTCAAACGTCAATTTGATCAAGACTGATTGCGATGGCTGACCAAGAAAGACAAGGCGGTGATTACATACAATCTATGACATTTTCGTAAATGGATTACTGTAGATATGCTTAGAAGCAACTGTAGTTGTCCATTTGATTATGATCGATTTATAGGCGACTACACTTTTGTAAAGCAGCTGACGTTCAGCTGTAATATATTCAGCAGTAGATGACCGGTGTCAGGTCGTTTCGGGACTTTTTCCGGGTTGTTTAATTTCGGGACATGTCAAAAGTCGTTTCGGGATTTTTCATTTATTTAAACAATCGATTGGATAAAAGTTATTACAACTTGTCATAGCCTTCTACTGTCATACATTTATTCATGATTTTAATAAAACATGAATAAATATAGATATAATATTCTCACTGACATAAATACACAACATAAAAACATATCGTTCAAAATATATAACTGGATTTGATAAATTGATTCACATGTCTAAAATAAAATAAAGTCTACGTGTTTCACGTTTTTACTTTCGTGAAATTTAATTTCTATATATATATAACAAAAAATAAAATGCTTAAAACATTGTTAGAGTCAATTAGATGTCAATAATGGAGAATATAGTGAATCGAAAACATATTACATGTATTACAATATCAAACAAGAAACCAACCTATCATGAACGAAAGAAATTGAATGTTGAATTTCATAAGTTCCTCTAGATCTGTATTTAGTAATGAGATTAGTTTCACCAGGTTTACAACACACTGTCAATCGGGTAAATGTTGGCAGGTATCCCCTCAAGCATTAGCAATCTGGTAACACTAATGATCGCAAGTACCGGTAAGTCATGACACAGGTCATAGACTAAAACCATACTTGTTTATTAACAGGACTTTATATGAAATGAGAGCGAAATGTTACCGAAACGACCTGTTACGACTAGCATTCCTCTATCAATGTTGGCTTAGTTTTCTGATTCATGTAATTTTCTCATAATAAAAACTAGAGAAAAGGACTTATCTTTTTAATATCGTTTAAACTGATATTTTAATTATGGCAGATTTTAATTTTACATAGGATTATGGTTGCGTTCTAGCTTCGGAGGTGGGAAGAATTTCTCTTTAGCTCAGTGGTGAAGTGTCCGACTAGGAAGTCTGGGGTAGCGGGTTTGATCCCCAGCGGAGGCATACTACTCTCTCCTATTACAAATGGTGTCTGTGGCCCTCCCTGTGGTGACGAGGAGTTAGAACCTTGGTTGTTAACATGCTCTAGGGGAAACACATTTTAAAAGAGGGGAGTAGTGTGGAATATATATATGGTCGCCTTCTAACTTCGCTAGAGGGAATTTCCCTTTAGGTCATATCAGTGGTAGAGCTTCTGACTAGGAAATCTGGGATCGTGGGTTTGATCCCCGGTAGCTAGAAGCACACTACTTTCTTTCCTGTTACATAATATGATTGTATTGATTATACAGAGTGCAGTTGTTGGATATCGCCTTACCAGGTATATAATATAACAGAAATATTTCATGAGCTGTCCTGTGTACATGTGTAAGGACAAGTAAGTTGTAACCAGTAAAAGAGTATAATGTAAAAGAGAGGTAATAAACTCTTACAGAGAAAATCTATGTCACATAATGTGGGCTTAAATTGAACAGGAAGAACCAATCTCTTGAATTAGCGAACTACAAGTAAATCCTTAAAAGCAAACACTTTGTCAATATATACAACAACAATGCTTTTACTGGTTACCAGCCAACCAAAAGGCTTCTTTCCATTCTCACCTTTGAGGAGAAAAGATGGCTGGTCAAGAGGATTTCTATCCTTAGTTGTGCATGTTGAAACCATAAGGACTTGTCTTATTGCAATGGATGACTACCAGGTGGCCACTTTGACAGTTTACATTGCTCTTTCTCAGTGTTCCTATGTTTCTCTTTGTTCTTAGTTTTGTTGATTTCATTTTTAGATTGATCAAGAGAAAAAAAGATCGCCACCAGGTAGATACCGGTATTTCAAGTTTGAGCAATGAAGTTTGTTATCAGTGTTTCTAAGTTTCAGAGAGTTAGGTTTACCTCAAATTTCACAAGTAGTTTCTTCCTGTTCCCTGATTTTTGGTATTTCATTTTTTAGCTTGATTAGAAATAAAAGATGGATTCCAGAAATGTTGTGTTACACCTTTATTACAAAAAGGGTTTCCCAGTTTTTGAGGTCCCTGCACAGGAATAAAATCATTTACTTCAAATCGATCATATTTATTTTCCTTTTACAGGTACAGGAGATTTGCTCATGTAGGACTGACAAGGGGCTATGAATAATCCAGACCTTGAAAACAACAACAATAATGACGGTCGGCGTAATAACAACCAGGGACGAGGAGGACCACAGAATCCGCTGGTGAATGTACGTGATAGACTTTTCCATGCCCTGTTCTACAGGATAGCGCTGACTTATGCCAGAACCTTCCCAAAACCTGTTAGAAGAATTCTGGAATTTGCTGTACTTTTGAAGGTAAATTAAATTACTAATTTCAGATTTATGTGGCCATGCATTTTTTCCCCCAAATATGATCTTAAATAAAAATTCATTTCTCGAATGGTTTAACTTTAACAGTGTAGATCACATTTTTTTTTTCAGTTTAAGAAATCAGTTCGTAATTATTGAAACTGAGTGAATCAGAATGTGTATAAGAAAATATTCATATATTTAGAAGATATGTGTATTACATACAAGATATTTTTTTAAGTTCCTGTTGCTTTTCAAGTGTACCGAGTTCTAAAAACCAAGATTCTAGTTTACAAGTTCATTTTCCAAGGAAGATAAAATAAGTTTTAGGGATATAACTAGGGCTGCCATGATTACAGGAGTAAACAGTAATGGTTCAGGTCATTGTAGCTATCAGCTAAAACTAATACATTTAGCTTAATAAGGGCACTTAGCATGGGGAAAATAAAAACCTTTTTTTTCCAATGGTATATAAGACTCGTATATATTGATTATTATTCCACCATGGCAGTCTGTAGCAGGTTTATTTATCCCACTACCTAGTTGAATGCCCCATTATTATAGCAGCATATCATTTTGAAAGATTGCTGTTTATATGTGTATTTACTAATATGAAAATCAAATATGTGTGCATTGAAATATCTTGATGAAAATTTATGATCAGCAATTTACTTTCTTTATTGTATTGATTTTTTTTCTCTTGAACAGGCTTTGTGTGTTCTGGCCATCTTGGCATACATACACATCGTGTTTGCAAGGACACCTATCAACTGTCTATCAAGCATTCAGAAGACTTGGCCCAGACACGGAATACTGCGTGTTGAAATCGTACAAAATGCGTCCGAGAACTACAGCCTTATCAACTCTTATGAAAAAGAGTACTCTGATTTTAGTGTACACGTGTTCAATGACCATGCACAGGAAGAGCAAGAAACAGAGGACGGTGAAACTGCTGAAACAGTAACGGAAGATATCTACCCCAGTAATGGGCACTATACAAATTCTTCTATTATAGAAGGAGGAAATGAGACTATAGTAGAAATCATTGATACAGGGGAGGTAAATAAGGAGTCAGTTCCTATGGAGGATCCAGGTGGAGATGTGAAAGGGGAAACAGAGGCAGAGAGTCCTGATGTGGAGGTGGAGGAACCTGATGAAAATGTCACAAAAATTAGTCAGAACTCCAATTCTGTTAGTGACACAGGCTACGAAACCTTTACAGAATCCTACCCTCTATCAGAAATAGAAATGCTAGCTAAAGTGGGTAAGTGTTTTTAACCCACCATATGTGGTTGTTAGCTTTACTGTGTAATTCACCATCTAATGTCACTTCCTTCAAGTGTGTTGAGTGTTTTAGACTGAAGATACTACTGGAATAAAAAAATCTTTGTAAATTCTTCATCAGCAATATTGCTAGACCAAACATATATATGTTGATGACAATTTTTATGTTTATTTGTTTTTCTTTTCTTTTGTCACACAAAGCCCTCCGCTATTGATCTTATATTACTTTGTGCTGGCGATGGTTATCATTTTTATGGTATATTTGCAGTGTGGCCAGAAGAGAAATACATTGTGGAATATGCATTGGAGTATGGATTCTTGAGGCTATCTCCTAAAACAAGGCAGAGATTAAATATAACAGTCATGCTTGTCACATTGGGTAAGTAGAAAGGCCTGTACATACTTCACTGCTGTCATATAGAAACAACACTGAAAGTAAAGTTCATGTATTATTAATGAGCACATGTATATATAAGGAATAATGTAAATAATATTGTCTCTAGTGATTTTTTAATCAATGTGAACAGTAAACACACAGAAGTTAAAATGTGCCTATACTATTGGTATAAGTAAGATTGTTTGTTTTACAGATCCCATTAAGGACGAGTGTTTCGGTGACAGCATCAGTCGGTTTTTGCTAGATGAGTTCCTGGGGTACGATGACATACTAATGTCAAGTATAAAACAGTTAGCAGAGCACGAAGACAACAAAGGTGAGTGGGAACCTCAGAGGTTGTCCAAATAATATTTTGATACTATCTAGTTCACTCACCTTTGGCAGAGCATCTGTGGACATCATCCTCTCCGTCTGTTTGTCTGTCCATCTGTTTGTCTGTCCATCTGTTTGTCTGCCTGTCCATCTGTTTGTCTGCCTGTCCATCTGTCAGCATTTGGTTGTCTTCATGTTCCCTACTAAATTTTCAGGCAAATTTCAGGAAACTTTACACAAGAAATCCTATCGCCAATCTCTTTGGACCAGTTGAAGGTCAAGGTCATACCGGTACTTTCAAGGTCAAGGTCACATCTGCAGAATCTTTACATGATGATGGAGAAATTGGCTTGTCCACACACTCCTGACCTGGAGTTTTCAACCTTATAAAACTTCATACAATCACTCCTGACATTAGTTTCTCTAGGCTTGGTGAAAGACAAGGACGTATCGTTTGTCATTCTGTTCATCTGTCAACATTTGATTTGTTCCCTGGTTCCTAATCCTGACTATTTTTTTATGAAAATCACACAAATATTCCTGACATCAATCTAATCAGATATTTGAAGGTCAAGATCAAAGTCGGAGAATCTATACATAATGATGAGTTATTGGCTTTATCTATGCACACAATCCTGAATAAAATAATTACAGATTGTGTGACAGATATTGACCTTCGAATGTTTCAATAGATTGATATAAGAATATTTTCTTTACTAAATATCAAAATGATTTATAGCTGGTTTAGTATTTCATAATCTACATTGCTTGTTTGCCATACACATACAAGCTCAACCTTCATCACTCACTGGCACTGTTGAGTAAAATTTAGTAGATATGTATTATGTCATAAATCTGACTCCAACAATGATGTTGGCAGCCAGTTTATGTACAGTTTACTGTACTTTGAGAATAACACAGGGCTTTGAAAAGTATGCACCATTTCTTTTTTCTCAAATATTCATAAAAAAAATATACAACAAAGAGTTACAAATGATAAGGAGATTTGCTTCAGCCTTGTTTAATTTTTTTTTTTTTTTTTTTTTTTAAATATCAAGAATGTACTTTACTACAATCCTGTCATGGTAGAATAGGAAAAATTGTTGAAAATATATATCACATTTTCATTGTATGTTTTGATTATACAGTACTAATATACAATTTATCTATAGGTTACTTAAGGAATGTTGTGACAGGGGAACACTACCGTTTCGTCAGTATGTGGATGGCCAGGAGCTCTTACCTGGCAGCAGCATTCATCATGCTAGTATTTGTAAGTACATGTAGGAGTACTCACTTCATTGTGCTATTATTTGTAAGTATGTCACTGTAATTTATCTTGCTTCTTTCAAATTTACAAACATGAGGAAATTGGTTAAAAAATGTCTTGAAAATAGCATATAAAGTTGAATATAGCAATAACATGTTTGGATATATACATAATAACAAAGTACATATTGTTTTAGCCCTACTGGCCTCTTGTTTGTAGAGAGCAATACTCTTGCATATGCAAATAGGGAAACTTGCTAAAAACAATTTCACAAGTTGACGCATATATACAAAATATGGTGTATACATTGTATTTTGAAAATATATAAATTCCTTTGATAGTGTTTTAATGCATAAAATCTTCTAACTTTTCAATATTTGTCTTTTTTTCCAGACATTATCAGTTTCAACTTTACTGAGATATTCTCATCATCAGATTTTCATTTTCATAGGTGAGTATTGGACTTGTGTTATTCACAACTGTATTATTACCCTGGTATCTAATTATCAGATGTATATAGAATAAATCAAGGAAATTTTGTTTATTTTAAAAATGAAATGTTGGTATACTATATAAAACTAATATAATTATCTTTACTTTGAATTTATTTATTTTGCATTTTTCAGTTGATTTACTACAAATGCTGGAGATGAATGTCACTGTTGCATTCCCAGCTGCTCCTCTTCTGACTGTTATATTAGCCCTTGTTGGTAAGTATAAACATTGTTATATTATCCCTTGTTGGTAAGTATAAACATTGTTACATTAGTCCTTGTTGGTAAGTATACACAATGTTATATTAGTCCTTGTTGGTAAGTATACACATTGTTATATTAGCCCGTGTTGGTAAGTATAAACATTGTGATATTAGCCCTTGTTGTTAAGTATACACATTGTTATATTAGCCCGTGTTGGTAAGTATAAACATTGTGATATTAGTCCTTTTTGGTAAGTATGAACATTGTTATATTAGTCCTTTTTGGTAAGTATGAACATTGTTATATTAGTCCTTTTTGGTAAGTATGAACATTGTTATATTAGTCCTTTTTGGTAAGTATGAACATTGTTATATTAGTCCTTTTTGGTAAGTATGAACATTGTTATATTAGTCCTTTTTGGTAAGTATGAACATTGTTATATTAGTCCTTTTTGGTAAGTATGAACATTGTTATATTAGTCCTTTTTGGTAAGTATAAACATTGTTATATTATCCCTTGTTGGTAAGTATAAACATTGTTAAATTAGTCCTTGTTGGTAAGTATAAACATCGTTATATTAGTCCTTGTTGGTAAGTATATACATTGTTATATTAGTCCTTGTTGGTACGTATACACATTGTTATATTAGCCCTTGTTGTTAAGTATAAACATTGTTATATTAGTCCCTGTTGGTAAGTATACACATTGTTATATTAGCCCGTGTTGGTAAGTATAAACATTGTGATATTAGCCCTTGTTGTTAAGTATACACATTGTTATATTAGCCCGTGTTGGTAAGTATAAACATTGTGATATTAGCCCTTGTTGTTAAGTATACACATTGTTATATTAGCCCGTGTTGGTAAGTATAAACATTGTGATATTATTCCTTGTTGGTAAGTATACACATTGCTATATTAGCCCTTGTTGGTAAGTATAAACATGGTTATATTAGCCCTTGTTGGTAAGTATAAACATTATTATATTATTCCTTGTTGGTAAGTATACACATTGCTATATTAGCCCTTGTTGGTAAGTATAAACATTGCTATATTAGTCCTTGTTGGTAAGTATACACATTGTTATATTAGCCCGTGTTGGTAAGTATAAACATTGTGATATTAGTCCGTTTTGGTAAGTATGAACATTGTTATATTAGTCCTTTTTGGTAAGTATAAACATTGTTATATTAGTTTTTGTTGGTAAGTATAAACATTGTTATACTAGTCCTTGTTGGTAAGTATACACATTGTTATATTCGTCCTTGTTAGTAAGTATACAGATTGTTATATTAGCCCTTGTTGGTAAGGATAAACATTGTTATATTAGTCCTTGTTTGTAAGTATAAACATTGTTATATTAGTCCTCGTTGGTAAGTATACACATTGTTATATTCGTCCTTGTTAGTAAGTATACAGATTGTTATATTAGCCCTTGTTGGTAAGGATAAACATTGTTATATTAGTCCTTGTTTGTAAGTATAAACATTGTTATATTAGCCATTGTTGGTAAGTATAAACATTGTTATACTAGTCCTTGTTGGTAAGTATACACATTGTTATATTCGTCCTTGTTAGTAAGTATACAGATTGTTATATTAGCCCTTGTTGGTAAGTCTACACATTGTTATATTAGTCCTTGTTGGTACGTATACACATTGTTATATTAGCCCTTGTTGTTAAGTATAAACATTGTTATATTAGTCCTTGTTTGTAAGTATAAACATTGTTATATTATTCCTTGTTGGTAAGTATACACATTGTTATATTAGCCATTGTTGGTAAGTATAAACATTGTTATACTAGTCCTTGTTGGTAAGTATACACATTGTTATATTAGTCCTTGTTGGTACGTATACACATTGTTATATTAGCCCTTGTTGGTAAGTATAAACATTGTGATATTAGTCCTTTTTGGTAAGTATGAACATTGTTATATTAGTCCTTTTTGGTAAGTATAAACATTGTTATATTAGCCCTTGTTGGTAAGTATAAACATTGTTATATTAGCCCTTGTTGTTAAGTGTAAACACTTTTAAATCACAGAGATGATTGAAATTCTAATTTTCATAAGAGAAAAACAAATAATTTACATACAAAGATACTGTATATATTGGTATAAAGATTTAACACAATACTTGTATAAGCTTTAAAATTTTGATGATATATAGCTAGCTCATACATTTTTTTATTGATTTACTTTTTATGTCCCACTATGAAATGGTGAAGGTCGTTTAGTGTTATAACATATCCCTCTGTTACACGTTGATGTTATTGCTCTACCACCTTTAGTTTTCATCTTATTGCAAGAAATATGGATATGCATCTTGGATACACAAGTATCTCTTAACAGGTTTTTGTTCCAGAGTACTGGAACAAATCTTGATTTCCAAAAAGTGTGTGGCTGATGTACCGTGGGCATTTATGAATCCTAACCATAGTCTAGTTTACTGTTATAATTGCAGATATCTACAATGGAAACTTTACCATGCTCTCTTGTAGGTATGGAGGCCATTATGTCAGAGTTCTTTAATGACACGACTACTGCATTTTACATCATCCTGATTGTGTGGATAGCTGATCAATATGATGCAATATGCTGTCACACCGACATCAGTAAACGACACTGGTTAAGGTAAACAGTTCTGTGTAATTCTTATTTAAAATGTCAAGTTCCGGCAAACAGATCTGTGTAATTCTTGTGTATCACAAAAATCGTTAGTTAAGGTAAACAGTTTTGTGTAATTCTTACTTAAAATGTCTAGTTCCGGCAAACAGATCTGTGTAATTCTTGTGTATCACAAAAATCATTAGTTAAGGTAAACAGTTCTGTGTAATTCTTATTTAACATATCAAGTTTAGGCAAAACAGATCTGTGTAATTCTTATTTAAAATGTCAAGTTCTGGCAAACAGATCTGTGTAATTCTTATTTAAAATGTCAAGTTCCGGCAAACAGATCTGTGTAATTCTTATTTAAAATGTCAAGTTCCAGCAAACAGATCTGTGTAATTCTTGTGTATCACAAATATCATTAGTTAAGGTAAACAGTTCTGTGTAATTCTTATTTAAAATGTCTAGTTCCGGCAAACAGATCTGTGTAATTCTTATTTAAAATGTCAAGTTCCAGCAAACAGATCTGTGTAATTTTTGTGTATCACAAATATCATTAGTTAAGGTAAACAGTTCTGTGTAATTCTTATTTAACATATCAAGTTTAGGCAAAACAGTTCTGTGTAATTCTTGTGTATCACCAATGTCAATAGTTAAGGCAAACAGTTCTGTGTAATTCTCGTGTATCACAAACATCATTAGTTAAGGCAAACAGATCTGTGTAATTCTCCTGTATCACAAACATCATTAGTTAAGGCAAACAGTTCTGTGTAATTCTCGTGTATCACAAACATCAATAGTTAACAGGTTACAGGTGTTGGAACACTTGACATGTTATATTAAGCTATGTAAAAAATTGACAACAAAATCTATGATGTCAAGATAAGCTGGTTTTACTGTACACATTGACCTATGGTTAGACAGGAACACTTGTACTAAACATGCAGGAAAAATAGAATTTAATACCAGTATACCACAAAGTTTGTTTTAACTGAATGTATATAGTCTGATGCGAGTGTCTTACAACTATCACATAGTTGTATGTACGCTGCAGATATTGTTTGTATGGTAAGTTGTTTTATGTATGTAGATGATATTATTTTTGCAGTGATTGTATTGTGTTATGTGTCTGTAACATGAGGTTGGTGAGATTTATTCATTTAAACATTTTTATTTTACATTGCAGATTTTTTTATCTTTATCATTTTGCATTCTATGCCTACCACTATCGCTTTAATGGGCAGTACAGTGGCCTAGCATTATTTACCTCCTGGCTGTTTATACAGGTATGTCACTCATATCGGTTCTAGTTGAGGCAGGAATATAAAGCATGGGAATGAAATCTTTGTAAAATAAAACTAATCATGATTTAAACAATACTTGTATGTCAGTTGTTTATATTAATTGGATGTCCACAGATTTAATTGAGCCATAGATAAAACTTTCTTAACTCCTTGTTAACTTTTAAGATCTATTTCCTTGCCTTCAAAACTTAAACTGTGACTTTTAATGTGTTACATAGACAACAATCCAAAGCAAAAAGTACACCACAAGTTGTTTCATATTGAAGAAGTGAAATGCATATCCTTAAAATTGTATGACAGTATGAAGCAAAGTTGCTTACAAATAAATTCCATGATACACAATAGCACATCTTGGAGAATATCTTTGTAAGACTATTGGTTTTATACTTCCATAAATATTAAAACTATGCATGTCGTTCAATATCTTATATTAAAAACAAAAGATAAATTCTACTTTATTTTTTGTGGTGGTTTCCATGGTTCATGATATATTTTAAACAGAACTGTCCAACCAAATGGTGGAACAGCAAACTTAACTATCTAACCAAATGGTGTAACAGCCATTTTCTATGGTTACACATTATCTGTCAGGCAACAGGTATCAATTAGAAACACAGTAAATTTTATGACTGTGCAATAGAATATTTCTTGATACATGTATTAATTCTTTTGTTGACATTTTAAACAAACATGTTAAATTGGTGACCTTTTGTTGCAGCACTCCATGATCTACTTTTTCCACCACTATGAACTGCCAGCAATTCTTCAGCAAGCACGGATACAGCAAATTGTCAACCAAAATCAGCAACAGACTAACACTAATCCCGACCCTGGGGCAGCTCCTAATGTTGAACAGACTGGGGAGCCGGTCACTCCCAATGGACAGGTACCGGGGGCCAATGATGATGCCCATCAACCATCGCCGCTTTCCTCCGAGACTAACAGCACTCCTGGTTCCATGTATCAGTCAACTAATCAGACATCAGAACAGGAAATTAGCAACAGCCTATCAGATATGTCAGCTGAACAGTCGCCATCTGCGAGCAGCCAGTTGGAGACAGGAAATAATTCAAATAATTCAGATGATACGGGTCAAGTTTATGCAAGTAGCAATTCAGAAAATAATGATAATATGGTTAATATAGGCAATGATATTAATCACAGACCTCTGGACAGAAAAAGTCCATCCACCTTGTTAGGTGAAACAAGTGGTGCTTCTAGTAGTGTTCCTACACAAGACACTGGTAGTCACATACCGGACAGTAAAGCAGGAGCTGCTAGCCATTCTGTATCTCCCACGTCAAAGGGAGATAACCCACCTTCATTTCAACAACAATGTGATAATGCTAAGTCTGGACTTCCTTCATCAAACTTAGAACATACTCAAGTAGGTTCTGAAATATTAAATACAAACAATTCATGTAACAGTCTTCAGACCCAAGATTCTGCCGTGGAAGGTGGGGCCACAGGTTGAGGATATTTCTTGTGTGTGATGTTGATGCTTCATTCAAGAAACTTCTAATCATGCTTTTTAGATAAATATTCATCCAAGATGCCTGTTTCTATGAAATAATGTTTTGGAAGAACAGTCTTTCCATTGTTACTATGACAGCAGGGCTGTTGTATTATGTAAGATTTTTTTTTAATTTTTTTTTTTATGTGAAAAGTACATTTATCTGACAAATATTCCACATGCATGATTGGTTTGTAAGTGAGTGATTCAGGGTTATACAATGGTAATGTTGTTGTGCAATTAACTTGCAAAAGAGTTTAATACAACAGTGTTTTAGTAAAGAAAAATAAATGAAATACGATAGAATGTATATATTTTAGTGGGTTCATTAGATTTTCATAAAGACTAAGTATCAGATGAATTCAGATTTTAGTAATCTGTACACTGCTAAATACAACTAATTTTGGTATTAAAGAACTTATGTAATTTCAGGTTAAAATTAAAAACATACAAGCTGGAAAAGTGTATTCAGCTATTGTTGGTTTCAGTCATCTGAAACTTTCTCATTCAATTAAATTTGAGATTTTGAGTCCACTGTTTCAAGATTTACAAATTTGAAGACATTTCATTAAGTCCTATCTTAAAATTGGACCTTTTAGAGTGTCTCTGAAAAAAAGGAATATTTATGTAAGTGTAAGGTAGCTTACACCCTTGACTTCTGATAAACACTGGGTGGATACTAAAGTTTGTCATAGTAACATAGCATACACCCTTAACTTCTGATAAACACGGGGTGGATACTAAAGTTTGTCACAGTAACATAGCATACACCCTTAACTTCCGATAAACACTGGGTAGATACTGAAGTTTGGCACAGTAACATAGCATACAACCTTAACTTCTGATAAACACTGGGTGGATTCTAAAGTTTGTCACAGTAACATAGCATACACCCTTAACTTCTGATAAACACGGGGTGGATACTAAAGTTTGTCACAGTAACATAGCATACACCCTTAACTTCCGATAAACACTGGGTAGATACTGAAGTTTGTGATAGTAACATAGCATACACCCTTAACTTCTGATAAACACGGGGTGGATACTAAAGTTTGTCACAGTAACATAGCATACACCCTTAACTTCCGATAAACACTGGGTAGATACTGAAGTTTGTCATAGGAACATAGCATACACCCTTAACTTCTGATAAGCACTGGGTGGATTCTAAAGTTTGTCACAGTAACATAGCATACACCCTTAACTTCCGATAAACACTGGGTAGATACTGAAGTTTGGCACAGTAACATAGCATACAACCTTAACTTCTGATAAACACTGGGGGGATACTAAAGTTTGTCATAGTAACATAGCATACGCCCTTAACTTCTGATAAACACTGGGTGGATTCTAAAGTTTGTCACAGTAACATAGCATACACCCTTAACTTCTGATAAGCACTGGGTGGATTCTAAAGTTTGTCACAGTAACATAGCATACACCCTTAACTTCTGATAAACACTGGGTGTATACTAAAGTTTGTCACAGTAACATAGCATACACCCTTAACTTCTGATAAGCACTGGGTGGATTCTAAAGTTTGTCACAGTAACATAGCATACACCCTTAACTTCTGATAAGCACTGGGTGGATTCTAAAGTTTGTCACAGTAACATAGCATACACCCTTAACTTCCGATAAACACTGGGTAGATACTGAAGTTTGTGATAGTAACATAGCATACACCCTTAACTTCTGATAAACACGGGGTGGATACTAAAGTTTGTCACAGTAACATAGCATACACCCTTAACTTCTGATAAACACTGGGTGGATACTGAAGTTTGTCACAGTAACATAGCATTCACCCTTAACTTCTGGTGAAATGAAATGAAATGAAATGAAATAAACTTTTGGTAAGGGCTGTTCCAGAATTACCCTACTGTAAATTTGCGCGTATAGTGCATACTTTTTTAGGTAAATATTGTCATGTCAAAAAGGGAAAACATATGTTGATCGGCGAGTCTCTGTCCCACTGCACTTTTTCAGAGACCCCACCACCGACAAAATCTTTAGAAGTGATTTAAAGGAATGGTAGGCAGATCTGATTTTAACCCCACCACCTCATAACGTATTAATACAGTTAAAATAAATAATGCAATAAATTATGGAACAGCCCTAGAGTGTCAATATTGAAGTTTGTCAAATTTAATTTATCATATCTCATTAACTGATAAACACTTTTCGGGTACTGAAGTTTACCTCGGTTCAAGATTCATGGTCCAGTATTTTTTTTGCCAGGAATCCTGGTCTAATTTCTTGGTCTAGTATTCGTTGGCCTGAAGTCTTAGTCTGAATTTAACAAAGCAACTTGGTTTTAATGTGTTTTTTTTTTTACAGCTTCAGCTTTCATATAGTGTAGCCCATTTTAAAAGTGCTGCTAATCCTATGGAAATCTATGGAAAGAAGTCATAGTTTATGTCAAGAAACCAGAATTATAATCAAGATTATTTATTTGCTCTTATTAACATTCCTTCTTGTATTGCACATATTTTGAAATAAGGAGTCTCAATTGCTGCATGGGTCTCCAAAGTTGCTTTGAATGGTTTTGGATGGTTTATTTTTTCCGAAAATATTAATTTACAAATTTGTCTCCTGAAAATTTGAAAATTGTTGTTCAAAGGATCAGTTGTTGTGTAAGAGAGTAGCTCCTCATGCTATGCAGGTTTAGAGTCTGTTACCGGTAAGTGTTCATAAATGTGATTTAAGTGCTGGAGATATTTTTGTATAATTTGTTATGCATATTGATGCGTGAGGATGCGTGTGTATGTGTAAAAGTGAAAATGTAAATATTGACTGTTTACTATAATTTATAAACAGATACCTAAATCTGATGTAGTCAGACATACTGTGTGGAATTTTCAGATTCTGTGAAGGCCAAAAAAAAAAGTGAAGAAATGTGATGTTTTGTTATCTTTTCTTAAGGAATTACCATAAAGAAAGGGTGGGAGGTTACTGATCTGAAAACGGGTGCCGCAGCAACTGCAACGATTTGAACATTTTGTAAAATATAGCTGATTAAGGACCCCTGTCCCACTGCATTTTTGTTTGCAAAATATAGCTAATTAAGGATCCCTGTCCCACTACATTGTTGTTTTTCATTTGTACCGTAGCCATCCGTTTATTAGCTCACCTGGCCTGAAGGGCCAAGTGAGCTTATGTCGTGGTGCATCATCTGGCGTCATTATTTTACTTTAAACAACTTCTTCTTAATAACCAAAAGGCATAGGGTGATGATATTTGGCCAGAAGCAAACTGGGATGAAGGGCTACCAAGTTTGTTCATACAAATGACCTTCACCGATATTCAAGGTCACAGGGGTCAAATATGTTAAAACCTTTAAACAACTTCTGATGAATAACCAAAAGACACAGGATGTTTATTTTTGGCCAGTAGCATGCTAGGATGAAGGGCTACCAAGTTTGTTCAAATGAATGATCAAATATGTTCAAAATCTTTAAACAACTTCTTCAAATATGTTCAAAATCTTTAAACCAAAATAAGCAGGATGCTGATATTTGGCTGGTAACATGATGGGATGAAGGGTAACCAAGTTTGTTCAAATGAATGACCTTGATACTTATTCAAGGTCACAGGGATCAAATATGTTCAAAATCTTTAAACAACTTCTACTTAATAACCAAAAGACCAAGGACGTTGCCAGTAGCACGCTAGGATAAAAGGCTACCAAGTTTGTTCAAATGAATGACCTTGAATTATATGCAAGGTCACAGGGGTCAAATATGTTAAAATCTTTAAAAGTCTTCTGAATAAACATAAGGCCTAGAATGTTGATATTTAACCAGTAGCATGCTGGGTACCAAGTTTGTTAAAGTAATTGACCTTGATCCATGTTCAAGGTCATATTTGGTCAAATATGTATAAACATTGAAATGACCTAATTTCAATAAACAAAAGGATAGGGTGGTGATATTTTGCAAGTTGCATCCTGAGATGAAGGGCTTTAAAAATTGTTCAACATAAAGACCTTGTTTGACTTTCAAGGTCACAGGGGTGAAATGTTTTTAAATCTTTTAACAGGTTCTTTTGAATGAATTTTTAGGTCACCTGAGCTTTAGCTCGAGTGACCTATTGCTATCCGTCTTCGTCCGTCGTCCTCCGTCGTCTGTTAACATTTTACATTTCAAACTTAAAGTCAAGTTCTGCTGGGCCGATTGAACTGAAAGTTGGTAGGAATGATCGACTCATGGTCCTGATAAAGTGTTGTTATTTTTCGGGTCGATCAGAAATCCAATATGGCCGCCACGGCCGCCATTTTGAAAAACTATTTCAAACTTAAAGTAAAGTTCTACTTGGCCGATTGAACTGAAACTTTGTAGGAATGATCGACTCATGGTCCTGACAAAGTGTTGTTATTTTTTCTGGTCGATCAGAAACACAATATGGCCACCACGGCCGCCATTTTGAAAATACCTATTTCAAACTTAAAGTCAAGTTCTGCTAGGTTGATTGAACTGAAAGTTGGTAGGAATGATCAGCTTATGATCCTGACAAAGTGTTGTTATTTTTTCTGGTCGATCAGAAATACAATATGGCCACCACGGCCGCCATTTTGAAAATACCTATTTCAAACTTAAAGTCAAGTTCTGCTGGGGCGATTGAACTGAAACTTTGTAGGAATGATCGACTCATGGTCCTGACAAAGTGTTGTTATTTTTCAGGTCAATCAGAAATCCAATATGGCCGCCGTGGTCGCCATTTTGAAAAACTATTTCAAACTTAAAGTCAAGTTTGACTGGGCCGATTGAACTGAAACTTTGTAGGAATGATCGACACATGGTCCTGACAAAGTGTTGCTATTTTTCGGGTCGATCAGAAATCCAATATGGCCGCCACGGCCGCCATTTTGAAAAACTATTTCAAACTTAAAGTAAAGTTCTACTTGGCCGATTGAACTGAAACTTTGTAGGAATGATCGAATCATTGGTCCTGACAAAGTGTTGTTATTTTTCGGGTCAATCAAAAATACAATTTGGCTGCCATTATACTTAACTATTTTTTACTCAAATTGGTACATATTTCAACAACAAAAATAAATACTGTAGGACTCAGGTGACCGTTAAGGCCCATGGGCCTCTTGTTTAATAACAAATACTGATATTTTTGCCTGTAACTTTATTTTAGATCACTTTTAAGGTTACAAGTGTGAGATTTACACCAGGTGAGCGATGCAGGCCCATTTGGCCTCTTGTTTTTGTTTTGGATATAATTATAGGACATTTTGGCCAAGATACTTCCATTGACCAGGTAGCTCATTTGGTTAATAATAATGATATGCAGACTAGGGTTCGAATCCCAGTCTAGCCGCGATGAACTTTTACACTCAGAACACAATTGTTGATTATATCTTTCTGAATTTTAATAAATGTCCTGCAAGGTATAGTTTTCTTTTGAAATTATTTATCAAAGCTATAGTTCATGCCGGAAGTTTCCAAAGCATAGGTGCAGTTTTTGGCAGTCAACTTCAGGTACAGGAACCTTGAATACTCCATTTTCCACTATATTCTATAACATCTAGATCAACCTACCAACTTGTCCTGTAGTACACCTGTATTATCATTGTGATGTTTTGCCTTCCACCCCTCCAAAAGCTTGACTTATTTCGTTCCCTTGTCGTAGAGAATAGGATCTCGTGCCCTTCTGTATTAGGACAATTATTTCTTGGTAAGACCGACAGCAACAATCAAACATTACTTTTGCTCCCATAGATATGATTTTCCATCATGTGCTTGCTTACAGCTAATTTATTGTGTCACCAACTAATTTATCTACATTGTATTTCAGTGACAAAGAATTTCATACATTTATAAATTTTCTGGATTAAATTTGGAAATGGTATTTTTTTTTTGTTATCTTTAAAAAAACATTGATTAGCAGAATTAGAAGACATTTATACTCTAAAACTAAAAGTTTTACATTCTTTTACATTAAAGAATTAGCTTATATGATTATCATTCCTATTTAGTGTTAGACACAAAAACAGAAAAAAACCATAGCTGAAATAACTTGCCGAAATTTTACATTGAAAAATAGACAAACTGATTAATCAACATCAACAAACAGACCCAACTATTTATTCAAATAAATGACCTTACCAATATTCAAGGTCAGAGGGATCAAATGTGATATAGAAACCTTTAAATGACTTCAAAGTATGATTATTTAGGTTGTCGCACCACAAATGACAGACAAAAAGCAATTGCAATAGATCACCCAATCGACGTTAAAAAGTCAATGATGTGGGTCATTGCTGGTTCCTTCATTTTCTAAACATAAATGCAGAATACCGATTCACCTGCAGTTATGAACGTTTGTCTCTTTTAGGAAGATTGTAAGATTTATTTCCCTTGGTATAGAACAGCAAAGAACATATTAACATTGTTAATGCGGAACATCCGTTTTTAAATGCAACATTTTCAGGTATAAAAACTGGTAAACCTGCAAAAGTTTTCACAGACCTTGCAAGACCGTGAAAGTAGCGTTAAATCACTGGGTCCGACCTTATATCAAAAACGAACAACACAGGTCCAACCACTTCAACCGTTTGGGTCGCGATAAACGAAAATGGCCCTGGTACTTCCTTTGGTACAGGACAGCAGAGAGCATACCCAGTACTTCCCTTGGTAAAAGACAGCAGAGAGTATACATGGTACTTCCCTTTGTGCAGGACAGCTGAGAGAACAGCAGAGAGCATGCCCAGTGCTTCCCTTGGTAAAAGACAGCAGAGAGCATACATGGTACTTCCCTTGGTGCAGGACAGCAGAGAGAACAGCAGAGAGCATGCCCAGTACTTCCCTAGGTACAGGACAGCAGAGGGCATACATGGTACTTCCCTTGGTACAAGACAGCAGAGAGCATACATGGTACTTCCCTTGGTACAGGACAGCAGAGAGTATACATGGTACTTCCCTTGGTACAGGACAGCAGAGAGTATACATGGTACTTCCCTTGGTACAGGACAGCAGAGAACATGCCCAGTACTTCCCTTGGTAAAAGACAGTAGAGAGTATACATGGTACTTCCCTTGGTACAGGACAGCAGAGAACATACATAGTACTTCCCTTGGTACAAGACAGTAGAGAGTATACATAGTACTTCCCTTGGTACAGAACAGCAGAGAACATGCCCAGTACTTCCCTTGGTAAAAGACAGTAGAGAGTATACATGGTACTTCTCTTGGTACAAGACAGCAGAGAACATACATTGTACTTCCCTTGTTACAAGACAGCAGAGAACATACATAGTACTTCCCTTGGTACAGGACAGCAGAGAACATACATAGTACTTCGCTTGGTACAGGACAGCAGAGAACATGCCCAGTACTTCCCTTGGTAAAAGACAGTAGAGAGTACACATGGTACTTCTCTTGGTACAAGACAGTAGAGAGCATACATAGTACTTCCCTTGGTACAAGACAGTAGAGAGTATACATAGTACTTCCCTTGGTACAGGACAGTAGAGAACATACATAGTACTTCTCTTGGTACAAGACAGTAGAGAGTATACATAGTAGTTCCCTTGGTACAGGACAGCAGAGAGCATGCCCAGTACTTCCCTTGGTACAAGACAGCAGAGAACATGCCCAGTACCTCCCTTGGTACAGGACAGCAGAGAGCATGCTCAGTACTTCCCTTGGTACAAGACAGCAGAGAGCATACATGGTACTTCCCTTGGTACAAGACAGCAGAGAACATGCCCAGTACTTCCCTTGGTACAGAACAGCAGAGAGCATACATGGTACTATCCTTGGTACAAGACAGCAGAGAACATGCCCAGTACCTCCCTTGGTAAAGGACAGCAGAGAGCATGCTCAGTACTTCCCTTGGTACAAGACAGCAGAGAGCATACATGGTACTTCCCTTGGTACAAGACAGCAGAGAACATACATGGTACTTTTCTTGGTACAGGACAGCAGAGAGCATACATGGTACTTCCCTTGGTACAAGACAGTAGAGAGTATACATAGTACTTCCCTTGGTACAGGACAGCAGAGAGCATGCCCAGTACTTCCCTTGGTACAAGACAGCAGAGAGAACAGCAGAGAGCATGCCCAGTATTTCCCTTGGTACAAGACAGCAGACATGGTACTTCCTTCGGCACAGTACAGCAGAGAGCCGAATATTTTTTGTACATAAACAAGTGACACAGTTGTCAAATTTTGTGTAGAGGTACCAGACACATCTTAAGATTATCTTGCCTGGAGTACAAGAAATAATCGTCTTAAAAGTGAATTTTTCGAGATTAACTAGAATATCTAACAAGAGCTGTTGGAGAACAGCATAGCTTGCCTATTGGTGATATATGTTGTAAGATTGCAAATATCAATAGAAACACATGTACAGTAAAACAACAATATAGTTCTCCTCATTTCAGTTGCCACCTCGCCTATAGCCTACATGTAACAAGGTCCTTTAACTATGTTTTTCTGAAGAATTCCTTTATACATTTCCTTGAACTTATTGCCAAACCCCTTTATAATGCCAACATTTCTTGGAAGAAATGATGGCAATATAACAAGGTGTTGCTGTACCTTAACATGTTAGAAGAGAAGACCAGCCAATATGAAATAGTCAACAGGGTATTGATGGTGGTGACTGATTCAACACTGCACAAAAAAACCTTGCCTGAAAACTTAAACCAAGTCCAACTAACCAGTTTTGGTCCCAGAAAAAAATGAAATAATAGTTCAGAACATTGCTTACACTCCAAATAAATACTACAACCTTATAATAGGCAACAGCCTATTGATGGTGGTGATCCAACACTTCACAAAAAAAGAATTCCCAAGAACTTTAACTTCTCAAGCTTACCCAAAAACTTTTAACTTAGTCCAATTAAGCTTTTTTGGCCCCTAAGATATGAAAATATGGTCCAAAACATTGCTAACACTCCATATAAATACTTTAACCTCATAATAGACAATAGCCTATTGATGGTGGTGATCCAACCCTACAAAACAAAAACTTGCCCAAAAACTATAACCTCAAGCCTCAACAAATTTAACCAAGTCCAATTAAGCTGTTTTTTGCCCCTAAAATATGGTCCAGCATATTGCTTACACTCGAAAAAAATGCCTTAACCTCATAATAGACAACTGTGTATTTGAGTGTGGTGATCCAACACTGTCTGGAAAAAAAGCGCAGAAGGTGCGACGCTGACGTTGGGGCGACTACATTAGCATCCCTATTCTCCGAATAGGCGAGCTAAAAATGGACACGATAGAAATAGAAATAATTTATTATGTCTCGTTAGTATAAAGCTGTGATGCAGAGATATTGAAAAATCTTATATGCCAATTGGCTGTTATATTTATAGATTTATACAAACAACAGCGTCATATTTTCTGTAAACTGAGCATCCGGATTGATGGGTCAGACAAAAAACTACTATGTAATCATGTTTTATAAGTTGTTGCCTGCTGTCTACAAACCGAAAAGTGTCAAGCCATTATTTGATCATGATGGGACTTCACTTGTGATGATTCAAAGGCTGCATGAAAGATTACACATTGTAGTATTGTTAAAGACGACATTTGTCATGCTGGGTTGATCGGTTTTGATCAAGAATACGTAGACTAGTTTTGACACATTATATGTGTCGTCATCAGGACACTCGATCAGCATTACGTTGTCAGGGTCATCTTTTCCTATTGATAACGCTACTACTACGGCCGGACTCTTGTATTCCTTGTGGAATCTGTCTGCTCGGCATCACAGAACTCCACTGAACTCTTTGTACGGACGCTGGATCTGACCCAATCCCCGTACATTGTAGTATTGTCTACACATTCTGTATCGCATCATCTGTGACGATATGTCGTTCTTTAATATGAAATTTTTCAATTCCTATTGATTAATTTTCCTACGTCACATAGCATGCAGAACTTCTGTACACAAATAAGGACTACACATATTGATACAGAAACCATTTAATTAGTAAATCAGATGAACACATGAAGTCTACACTTGTACTTCAAAAAAGAAAAAAAACATGGGAAAAAAATTATTACAAAAGGTGGTTCTCAATTTCATAATATATCTGATACGATTAGATGTATTCTATACATGGTTTGTAAACTGTACAATACTTTAGCAAAAATTAAGCTATCTCTTTAGGAAAAACTCATTTAGATTCTAGAGTTTTCCTACTAATTTCAAATTCACAAAGTTTTCTAATACCGGTACCCCCAAAAAAAGGAAACATAAAACAGACATTGTGAAATTGATTCGGCATTCACATGAAATCTGTGTAACTTGTAAATAGGTACTACGGCTCCAGCTAAAAATTGTATATGGGTAGTTTTGACCCCTTGAATGAATCACAGAAGTTGTAAGTAAACAATTCTTTCAAAGCATTATACATTATATTAAAAAAAGGTTCAATTTATACCTGTTGGATAGTTAAAGCTTCAGGTTTGACAGAAAATAGGATGAAAAATATTTAAGTTCTAAGGTTTGTTGGAAAAGCTCACCAACATGGGTACATCATAAAGCTAACTATGGTAAACAGGAGGTAAAGCTTACTATACATACTATTTCTCTTGATAAAGCTCGCTGGAGAAAATCCTGATAGTACATTGATTGGCTGTGGCAAACAATGGCCACAATGAATTCTAGATATATCCTGAGGTTAGTATAATGATATAATATCTAAATGAGAAAATATATCCAAACATAAGATGTGCTACTATATCAATTTATTAGGAAATTACAATAATGCCCAATATATTAATTCAAAAAAAGGAATAAAACAGGTTTTTTGGTGTAATATAATCTACATAACCAGCCAATGATCATCAAGGAATTTAAAGAAATATCGGATTCATATTTTGATTTACCATTTAACCCTTTCACCCCTATGTAACTTAAGTAGACTCTACCATGCATTGATATGGATGTGTCCATTATGGTCTACAGTGGTGAAAGGGTTAACAACAGTTTGAATAAATCCTTTTGAAATAAAGTCAAGCTCTAACATGGATGATTTCTGAGTATGTACCTGTTCGAATGGCTTAACTCAATAACCCCTGAAAACACATTTGAACTCTTTCAATTCAAAGGTTGGAATAGTTCATTATGGGGCTTGAGATATACCGGCCTGGCTTGTGCAGCTGTTGTATATTTGGCTGTAGCTGCCAGAGGATTTACAAATGTGCGGTAGAAATATATTGCAATGTAGTGCAAAGTATAATGTTTGACATACTTACCAATCATAAATCAATAAGTGCGTAACTCAACAGAGGAAACCATCATTATACATGTATTTATTTATACCATTAGCAGGTGTCATACAGTATTTGTATGACAAAAGTGACCCAAAACTATATTACCTGTCTAGTTTATGGAGAAAATGTCGCTGGAAAAAGTCAAACATCCTATTTCTATTGACTTGAATGGATCTCAGTTTATATTAATTACCTTAAGAACTCTTTTAATATATGTATAGGTTTGCTGTCATAAACATTATGCAAAAACTGTGTTATTACTTGTACAACATGACTACCAGTGCTGTACCTTAAGTTGATGATTTAATGTCAGTATGAAAAGCACTAGAATAACATACCACTAGGTACAGTTTACACAATACGAGGCAATTTCATGGCAGTGCAATTTGCTGTTGTACACAGGTTTTATTATTAAATAGAACTGAATGAAAATTTGTAGAGAAGATTTTTATTACATATAGTTATATTATAGGTAGCCTATTTTATCAGACCATAAATTGACCCCGAGTGAATTTTCTTTTATATTTTTCATAAAAAAACTCTGCAAAATCAGGTTTAGTGTTGTGAAGGTTGAAAGTGTGAAAGCTTTAACTTGTAGATCTCGGTGTGTGTAAGGCTTAATGTGTAAGTCTCTGTGTCTAGAGTGTGATAAGCTTAGAGTGTGTAAGGCTGTGTGTCAGTAAGTTTAAAGCGTAAGGCTGTGTGTGTAAAACTCTGTGTGTTGAATTTAAATCTGAAAGTGTGTAAAACTGTGTGTGTAAAACTTAATAGGCAAGACTGTGTGTGTAAGCTTAATAGGCAAGACTGTGTGTGTAAGCTTAATTGCATGACTTATGAGCAAGACAGTGTGTCAGTAAGCTTAAAGTGTGTAAAGCTTAATGTGTAAAACTCTTTGTGTAACTGTAAAATGTGTAGGGCTTAATGAGCAAGACTCAATGTGTAAGTTTGCCATATGGTATGAGGCAAGTGACCACACTGAATTGATTTTGAACGATAGATGAGAAGAGGTATCCCTGGAGTAGAGAGTATAACGCTCGAGAAGCTAACACAACAGTGATTCTATAATATCAACAGTTAATATCATGTTAGGTTAATATATGTATCATAAAACAGGTTACGATGTGTTACAATTGTGGGCATACAAAGAAAAAACATATTCCGGTATAAAAAAAAATCAAATAAAAAGACTTCACAATTGCACATGTAATTCAAAATTTGTTGATAGCTTTCCAAGTTTGCGTCAATGTTGTCTGCTTAGTTGTATCAACAATTACATAAATGTATATCTATGTTCAAAATACCAAACAGGATGTTTAATTATCTATTAGTCATGATGAAGATTATTACAACAAAAACAATAACAATCTAGTGCTTAGTAAAGACTATATGTTGTCAATCTACCTTTGATATTTCATCTAATGTAAACACATTTATATACTGTTATATAGCACAGCATAAATTAAGTTAGTATTGTATAATAGTGTAAGTATTGTATAATAGTGTAATCTGTTTAAACCGTCTGATCCACTAACCTGTATAAACCAGACCTTCATCACGGTACATTGATGTATAATCCACAAACCAGATTTGGATCAATCATATGCTTTTTTTATGCGAGCTGAACCTGTTTATTCCCAACTTTTTTATTTCCAATAAATACAGTAACAGCTCATCTACACCAGGTTTTCGTATTAGACAAATTTCACTCAACACATAACCATTGCATAATCTAGGACGCATTCCTTTTTACACAGCAGAAGCTTGGTTATACGAACAGATCTACAAAAAATAACCTTTTTTTCTGAAACCACTTGGTCTGGATTAGAGAGGTTCTGCTGTATCCAAACTCTGGTATCCTTTTATACCCAACAGTAATACATTGTATATGATACATTGTACAATGTAAGAAAATCTAGAAACATTTTTACCCTGCAATACATTTATCTCCAACTCTACAATTATCCTTGAACGCAATGTATTATTGTCATAAAAAGCTACTACAGATAGAAATATCACAAACAACTTTTTTTTTCAAAGATAGGAAGTGATCTTTTAGTATTAATATGTACAATTCATATATTTGGTAGGATTACAATTATTTAGCTTGGCACTCATACAAACACAAAAGTAATAACAACAAAAACAAAAAAACTTTTATATCTACATATAAATTGTAAAAAAGAACATTTCTCCATTAATCTTTTCACCCCTAGGTAACTTTAGTAGACTCTACCATCCATTTATCTGGACGAGTCCATTGTGGTCCACAGTGGTGAAAGGGTTAACGACCATCAGCAAGTTATCTCTCCCATTATTATGAAGTATTAGTTCAACATTCATCACTTTTTGAGTTCAACAAATTCTCTCTTTGGGCGTTTTGTTTGCAATAATTGAGACGGAGCCAATCTGTTCAGTTCATGCAGTATCTTGTAGCATACATTTCACCAATGCACTTGACTGTTTCCTACTCATCAAAGATACCAATGTACAAAACAATGTATTTCATACAAACAAGTTAACTCGAGGGAATTCATGTACCTTTGTCAGATTTAATTTTGTCATATATGAAATACCAGGGTAAAATAATCAGATTTAATCAATATTTTTGTAGTATTAGAGTAAAAGTCTCATTCCAATTATTGATACTGCCAGTATTAAGGTAACGGATACCAATTCATAAGTTGTTATCATGAAATTGAGGTTTTTTTACTTGGGGTATTCTACCTTCTCTATAAAGATCAACAAGAGTTTTTCTGGCTTAGAGTAACTTCCCCTGTCAAGTCTTCAGATGGCTTTGCTGCCCATAAATTCAATCATTGGATACTAATTCTGCTGCTATGATTCTATTATCACTGAACGACATCATCTGTAAGATGTAAGCTTTGTTGTAATGCAAAGGTCCAAAGTTTGACCCCTGCAATTTTTCTGTTTTTTGTTTTTTTTATTTCCATTTCAAACATTTAAACTTCAAACAATTATAATTTTGTAAAATGCATCGCAACATGTGATTTTTATGGAATGTTTCTTTAGGAAAAGACCTACACAGATTTTTCCCCATAAGTGACAATGGTGATGATTTAGGTATACCCTTTACCTGCACCTGTTTACTATCAGCAAACTTTAGCAGAACACAGCATTTGTTGTCCTCATTACCTTATCACCTACCTCCATTTAAAATCAATGGAGGAGAAAAGTAGGAAAATTCGTAAATCACAAGAAATTGATGTTTACACTTAATCAAGCTTATATTAATGGTATCGTGACTTACTGTGGAAAAATATTGAGATTTTAAGAATTGTTAACAAGCACTGTAGTTTAAACTCCATACAATGTAAAAAAAAAATTATCTTTGTACAAATTATATTAAGTTAATATATGCTATCTGCCTATAGAATGGTGATACTTTAGCTTTACATGGAAGGTTGATGGTCATGCAAATACGAGATAACAAATGAACTGAATTGGTTATACAGAGAAACTTTGGTAAATATCATCAGCACTTCGGTCTCGGTGTCCTACACATATACAGAGATAGGCATACACACACCACTATCATTCCATCATAGACATCATCCACAGATCCAATGTCTTTCAGTTCAAACACATTTTGCCATCAATGTCAAGGTCAAGGTCAAAAGTACAAGCAGGTTCAAGGTCATTGTTCACTTGTCTTTGTTTTTATCTTTGTCTTTGTCTGACTTCTTGAAGAGATTTTTTCGGAAAATTGAAGATGGTCTTCTCTCCTCTGGCTTTGCTGTTCCGTTGGATTCTTTGGAGCTCTTTTTATAGACTATTAAGAAGTTATACACATTGGGAAAAGACTGATCATCAATGTCCTTCTTTGTGGCGAAAAGTGATAACATATAGTTTCCAGGGACTGGGACATTCACAAAGAACCGAGTCTTATGTGGATCAACATCATCTTTCACCATCGATACCAGTTCATTCTTATCATCATCTGGCTCCTTCATGAACTGGAATGACAATGTGACTTTACTTGGTACAAACATATCTATGGTGCACTGGTTTGATTCTGAGCAATTTATCTTTGGTTCTTTGTGTGACAAAACCTTCAGGCCGAGCTCCTCAAACTGAGAAGTAGGTCCCCACTTCTCCCTCCTAGCGACATGTTTGGGTTGAACTCTAGGAAGATCAACTGGTTTGGATACCTTCACACAGTTGATGAGGAATTTGAAAGCATGTGACAAGGTGGCCGAATCACCAGCTTCCTTTGGTCGGGCATACACATCCAGACCGAACTGACCAGTCTGAGGGGGACTTACTCGGCAGGTCAATATATCACCTTCCACCGAAGAATGCACAAATGGGTCCAATACCTTACTTTCAAAAACATTTGCTTTCAGTTTGGCGACAAAGTGTAGAGGTCTAGGAATCTTGGCGCAGAGTTCAATCCCGTCTTCCACATTGATGATTCCTGCCTTTGGGTTGTCTGGAGAATCACCGAGTCCACTCTCTGAACTGCCACTGTCCGACAGCTTGTCGGATATGTCATTTAAAGAGGAAGATTCTGGAACAGACTTGCCAAGATGTTTTAACTGCTTCATTTGGATACCAAAATGTCTCTTTCCCTTCAGGGGGCCCCATTCCCCTGAGGCACAATCTGGGAGTGGATGCATCTTGCCAGACAATTCTGGACAGGCCACTTTGAATTTGCAAGCACATTTCAATCGGAATGGTGCTATACCGGAACCAGAATCTTCAGAATTACCAAATTTGTTGCTCTCTTCAATTTTATTTGCAAAGATTTCAAAGAAGTAATCTCCAGTTGTGGGAAGGTGTATACTGAACATGACTGTGTTGTGTATCATCGTCTGGAATACAAAACGTTCTAAGCTTGAACCCCGGTATTGTGCCTCCAGTCTTTTTTCCTTTTCAGCAAATCGCAACTGGTAATAGAACACCAGATCATTTTCTAAACTCTCTGGAATCTTCAGTTTGATGTCGCATCCACCTTTGGCTGATGCGTCTAGGACAGCTGTCATTCCGTGGTCGAAATGCATTCCAAAATGAAAGAAGACAGATCGTACAAATGGAAGTGCTTCAAATTCCTCCAGTGTAATTGGGTTTTCTAGCAGCTGCCATTCCAGTTCCTTGGACCAGAATTCCTGAATGAACTCATCTGGGTCAGTGAGGAAGTAGTGTTCGTCGTACTGGTAGCGGATCTGATCCTTAGAAGAAGTCTTGGCTTTGACCTTGTCTCTCTTCTTGTCCTTGTTCAACACCAGGTGCCTGTAAGATAGGACAAGGTCAATATAGGTGACGGTCAGCAAAGACAGAATAGTCATATATTGTACAGGTAAGCTTGCATGTACTTTGTATGTTATAGATACTGCTACATGATTATTATATCTCATTAAGATTGTTTCTAATGGGGTATCTTGAAACCCAATTTTAATGAAGATTGCAAAGTACATTTATTTGGCTGGTAAGATTCATGTATTTCTTTCCTATGAGATTATATTCTGAATATATTTAACAAAATGTCCTTTCAAGTGTAAAGCTCCTTCTGCAACATTTACATCACGCCCCAGTTACACTGTATGAGCCTCCAGTCTCTATTACATAAAGCCCAGACTGTTCCACACAGTACAACGTTTACCTCACGCCCCAGTTACATTGTATAAGCCTCCAGTCTCTATTATATAAAGCCTGTACTGTTCCACACAGTACAACATTTACCTCGCGCCCCAGTTACACTGTAAGCCTGCACTGTTCCACACAGTACAACATTTACCTCGCGCCCCAGTTACACTGTATGAGCCTCCAGTCTCCGTCTATCAGCACAGCGTTCCATGTGTTCTGGAAGGTGTTTGGTTTGATCTTCATCCCTGGCTCATACCCGACACTCTTGGAGTGACCTTTTATCTCAACACAATGGAGACCAGCGTAGCTGTGACACAAAACAGGTGCAGTATAAACGTTTTAATTCAGTAATAAAAATATTCCAATGGACCTTTGTCATGCAAATCCTGTATGACAATACAGAATCTAACAAAAAAAGTTTTACTTTGAGATGATATGTTAAGGACTCCTTTTATATGTATTTGAAAGTTTTTAAATCATTGCTCAGTTATTTTTATATATTCAGGGTAGTGTCATGAGTAAAAATCAATAAATTTGAAATCAAAATGTTTGGGATGAGAAAAGTACATACCCATGTTTTCACGTAAAAATTCTGTTCATAAAAATTCACACTTTAATGTACTCTGTTTTCACTACCTTCATAAAAGCTCATTATATGAGCATATAATGTGAAAATCAATTTTTGCCTTAGTCATCCATAAAAGATATCAAGCATTTATCCAATTTTCCAATTTACTGGACAGGAAAAAACTGTCAGCTACATTGCTATAAAACATTGAAATGTAAGACATGGCACGCCTGAGTTACCTGCACAATCTCATGAACAGTACATGGTAAGTCTCCGTGCCAAATTTGATGCCACGTAAAAGGCCCATGGGGTTGTCAGTACCCAGAATTTCTTCAAAGTCTATTATGTTGAGGTCCTTCACAGTCACCCACCGATAAAGAGCCCTGTGAGACAAACAATAAGTACAATATTAATCAAGACCTTCCTACCGTTAAGTAAAAGAATCAGTCAAGGAGATGGAGACACAACATCCCTTTTAAGTTGAAAATCTGATATAATTCAGAGCATGGACAAAGAATCTTGCTTATAGATGCTCATAGATGATTACATGTTTCAGCTTGCCTTTGAGGACTCGCACCACTAAATCAGCCAATCAGCAAGTGTTTCAAACGATTGTAAACCCTACCTAGAATCTGTTCCAGTTAAATACAGTGCTCCGAGTAAATGGGTAATTGTTGGAATATTTTACATTGAATGAAATCAGCAGCTATTGAACTTTAGAAACACATATAGTTTAAGTAGATTTTAATAAGTGATTCGGATGGATATGGGGTCAAAAGTCAGGGAGTGTTCCCGTCCCATTTCACCGGTTTGAGTTGTAAACTTACGGTTGTCAAAAGCATACGCCTGTAGCGCTCTTATATGCCATTAAACCCTTTGTCAGGTATGTATCTATGAATCTAGACAATTGTCACTAGTGTTGAGCTTCAAATATTAATGCTTTTAGCTCAAAAGCTTAGTAATAACATATAGGAAACGAAGACAGTAAGCTTGTAGGGTACTGAATAACAACAAACAAACCTGACTTTCTCCAGGTCTGTCATTACGTTTTCTATCAGTTGCTGTACCAACTCTGTGTATGTGAACTGTTCATTTTCTGCTACCTGAAATACGTAAAAGAAAAACATGAAACATTTTCAGGAAAGTCTGCATATACATTATACATTTGTATGGTAGATACTACTTGAAATATTTGAAAAACATGTACATGCCCCCACTCCCACTTGATGAAATTGAAGCTAAAGGCAAAGCCTAACCAAAGGAATGGAGCGAAAGGCAAAGCCTAACCAAAGGAATGGAGTGAAAGGCAAAGCCTAACTAAAGGAATGAAGTGAAAGGCAAAGCCTAACCAAAGAAATGGAGAGAAAGGAAAAGCCTAACCAAAGGAATGGAGCGAAAGGCAAAGCCTAACCAAAGGAATGGAGAGAAAGGCAAAGCCTGACTAAATGGAATGGAGTGAAAGGCAAAGCCTAACCAAAGAAATGGAGAGAAAGGCAAAGCCTAACTAAATGGAATGGAATGAAAGGCAAAGCCTAACCAAAGAAATGGAGTGAAAGGCAAAGCCTAACTAAATGGAATGGAGAGAAAGGCAAAGCCTAACCACAGAGTTGGAGAGAAAGGCAAAGCCTAACCACAGAAATGGAGTGAAAGGCAAAGCCTAACCAAAGAAATGGAGTGAAAGGCAAAGCCTTACTAAATGGAATGGAGTGAAAGGCAAAGCCTAACTAAATGGAATGGAATGAAAGGCAAAGCCTAACCAAAGAAATGGAGAGAAAGGCAAAGCCTAACCAAAGGAATAGAGCGAAAGGCAAAGCCTAACCAAAGAAATGGAGTGAAAGGCAAAGCCTAACCAAAGAAATGGAGAGAAAGGCAAAGCCTAACCAAAGAAATGGAGTGAAAGGAAAAGCCTAACCACAGAAATGGAGAGAAAGGCAAAGCCTAACCACAGAAATGGGAGAAAGACAAAGCCTAACCAAAAAATGGAAAGAAAGGCAAAGCCTAACCAAAGAAATGGAGTGAAAGGCAAAGCCTTACCAAAGAAATAGAGTGAAAGGCAAAGCCTAACCGAAGGAATGGAGTGAAAGGCAAAGCCTAGCCAAAGAAAAGGAGTGCAAGGCAAAGCCTAACCAAAGGAATGGAGTGAAAGGCAAAGCCTAACCGAAGGAATGGAGTGCAAGGCAAAGCCTAACCAAAGAAATAGAGTGAAAGGCAAAGCCTAACCGAAGGAATGGAGTGAAAGGCAAAGCCTAACCAAAGGAACGGAGCGAAAGGCAAAGCCTTACAATGCCAGATAGCCTACATGGAAATATTGATCATACCAGTAACAAAATGATATTTGTTCCAATGAAACAGCATCAAGTCCAAAAGCTTATTTAGGTCATCAAATGAAATCATTAAATTTCAAAATAAAATCATGCAGGTGGACTTTTAAAAAAGTTTGTTGAATGTTTCACCCTCTTAAAACATGTGGTCGTTGGATAGGGGAATATATATACTTTATTATATTTATGAAGAAAAATACCTTCACTTTAGATGGGTTGCGTTTGAAATTGGCTTAAAACGTTTAGGGTACACACTAGACAGTCAAAAACATAAGGCCAGGACAGAAATATTTGCAGGGCTAGTTATAAACAGGAGTTTTCTGATTATATTCAGGTTTTGGTTTACACAAGATAAACCCTAGATGTAAGAACACAATATACGATACCTTGATAACATCCTCATCCAGTTCGTCGAAGATTCCGACATCCTCGTACAGGTCCTTCTTGCGACAGGATGGAGGCTTGGGAGGGGGGAGATCTGTGGAAGGCAAGCCTAGAGCCTCGATCACCTCTTCCACAAGCTCTTCTTGTTCCTCTTTACCATTTACACCATTCTGTAACACAAATAGGATTTTGTTGATAACCACATACAGCATTTGAGTATAAGTAGGTCCAAAATAAGACTTATTTTACAGTAAATTTTATTGATTATGCTAATCTCAGATAAATTTTTAAACAAAGTTTTTTTTTATCATGACTTTTTAAGCATGACTTTGATGATTCCAGTTTCAGTTCATCGTGGTCACCCACTTCATCACCCATTTCATCGTGTTCACCCATTTCATCGTGTCCACACATTTCATCGTGTCCACACATTTCATCGTGTCCACCCATTTCATCGTGTTCACCCGTTTCATCGTGTCCACCCATTTCATCATGTTCACCCATTTCACATTGCAGGGACTTTCAGAAATAATATCTGCTAGTGAAATATCAAAAATTACTACAGAAATAGATATCTGAAAACTTCCATCACAGTGCAGATCCATTTACATTTATTTGCTTGTTACTATGTTGGCTAGAAAATTTTCCATCCAGCTGAAAGAAAAGTTTTGTGGGAACTATTTATGAACCTACTGTTTCCTGTGCGATCTCTTCCACAATCTCCTGTTTGATTTCCTCTTTTTTTGAAGCCAAAAACTCCAGCATCTGTTTGCTCTGTCGGGCCACCATAGTTGACGTGACTTTCTGTTCCTTCTCTCGAATTCTCATCGTCATGGACTCGCGCTTTTTGCTTCTCTTCTCGTTGATGATAACTTCCAGGTCTTTTCTCTGGTTTTCAAAGTGCAATGTCATTTGCTGGAAGAAAAAGTACTTTTTTTTGTAACCATACAGTTCAACTTAATGCAAAAGTGATTTGATAGAAAAAATATGAATTACACATGAAAATAAATATTAACTGTCACATCTGTGTAAAACTGCTGAAAAGGAAGAGAAGAAATGTACAATTCTTTTATTAAACAATTTTTATAACATACCTGCTAAATCACCTTACTAATATATAATATCATAATATTATAATATAATATTTCTTTGATGTGGCGTTATTAATTTAAAATTAATTGATTTTTCACGAGGATAAGACAAATCAAGCAACCTGTAGACTGCAAAGCTATAAATCTTCAACACCGACATTATGACCAACAAATGTGCCATATTTATTTTCTGTAACAAGCTGAGGAAGGATAGTCCTTAGAAAGGGGCATAAGTGGATATTTATATATTGGACTATTTTTCCTCTAGTAAAAAAGGGCTTCCTTCTTTATATGACCCTTATATGTACATGTGTATCTATATGTGTACATGTTATCATATGTTGATGACTGCGTATACACCGACCATTTAAGCATCCTCGATATCCAGGGGTTACGCTCACTTTCGTTCTCTGCACCCCTGGAATATGTCATAGCAAAATTGAAGGCACCTGGCTAGCTATTTGATTGGTGTCAGGTAAAAAATCCTGACCAATCAAAAGGCTGATGCTTGTTCTTTGAAGATTACAAAGGAGCGATGCCGACTTCAAAGCTAGAAAATTTTACCTTTATGTGACCGCGAGATACTTTTGATGTACATCAAAAGATCAAACAAACTAGTATTCTCGTCTCGTCCACAAGGTGGCGCACACTGAGCTTTTGATTTTGCTATGGCATATTCCAGGGGTGTATAGATCGAAAGTGAGCTTTTTACCGCTGGATATCGAGGATACCTATAAGTGGATGGCATGAAGGGGGTGGGCTTATTACCAGGCATGGGCTTATCACCGGTAAAATACGATAAAAATCACAATTTGTTTGCCCAGTCAATTAACTGATAAAACCCATATTCACCCAGCATTAATTTCGCCCTTCACATTTGCATAGTTTGTGTAGAGATGGGAGAAAATGAGTAAATCATTATGTAGGTATGTGGGATATTGATATTCCACATATGATAGACTCTATAAATGGTTGTATATGTAAAAGGAAGGAAGGCTTAATCATTACCAAAACATTTAGCCTCATTATCAGTGAAACAGGGTGAGTATTCAACATAAAATCTAAAAAATATCTGAATCTTTCTGAACAGTCTGTTAGAAGAAAATATCTTTTACAAAGACATAATGTAAATGTAGGCATATTAATTCCTTATTACAAGGAGAGTGGGTGTGTAGGTAGTGGGTCTCTGTCACAAAGACAGTAAGCATGTATGTATTTTGTTGTGTAAGAGATGTCGACTGATTTTACCTAAATGTATATAATCCAGTCATTCAACACTGAAAATGGCAGTTTAAATTTATTGGCCTAAATCTTACATAGAAATCCAGCACCTTGCTATATAAAACACACAAGGCTGAAAATAGATGCAGACAAAGTAAGATCTCGTATTGTAACCTGTTTTCAAAAGTAATGATAAAATCCCCCAAAGCACAACTCTATCAGTAAACACAATCTCGGCAAACTAACTCAAGCCAATACAACATCATTTCAAAATTGTTTAGCCTCCATATGTTCAAGGGCTTTCAACCACTTCATACAATCTCACATGAGATTCTATAACTGCACAAACTTTAATCCATTGACCACATGTGTCAATATGACACATACAACTTTATATTAATGACTTTATTCAGAGATATTTGAACAGCATTATAAAACATTTCCATTAACTATAATCAATATCAAATAAAAATTTAATAACATGCGTAACAACTGATCTCTATATGGAACTTTCTAAAAATCTTAGGAAATATGAATATATATGTAATCACATTTATATTACAAGAGGCCCAGAGGGCCTGTATCGCTCACCTGGATATCTAAGCAATCATCGCAAAATATTCTCCAAATGAGATCCAAGGGAATATGCCAGACCACAAGGCAAATCCTTTTAGCATATCTGTATTAGATTTTTCATGCCCAGCAATTTTATGTATGGTTATGGGGTGGGGATCTCAACTGTTTCCAAGCTGTGACTCAGAAACTAGGTCCCTAGGGTTGTGGCCAGACCCCAGGATCAATTCTAATATCATGACTGCATTTGTCTCTTTTTGCCCAGCATTTGTTTATATAGTTTTGGGGTGGGGATCTCAACCGTTTCAAAGTTATGACCCAGGGGTTAAGTCTGCAAGGGGGGGGCAGTCCCTGTGGTCAATTCTAATATCATGACTGCATTCGTCTCTTTATGCCCAACAATTGTATATATAGTTTTGGGGTGGGGATCTTAACCATTTCAAAGTTATGACCCAGGGGTTAAGTCTCCAAGGGTGGGGCAGTCCCCAAGGCCATCCTGGAAGCATATGTGCATTCATCTCTTTATACTCAGCAATTGTATGATCTGTCAATCATTTCAGAGTTATCTACCCTACCTGATTACAAGATGTTACATCCATGCCAACATCACGGTTGTATAACTCCCATCTCTCATTAGTCATGGCTATATATAGTATTCTAACTTACAGCTCTGCTAGCTTTCAGATCATCGGAATTTGTAACCTTCAGGAAGCTAAATATAGAATCTTCCTAAATTAAGAATGATCTCTGTATTTCCATACCTGCGGTGTTTGAATATGTACGCATTTCTACCTGTGTAATGCATGAATGCTCAATTAAAAGACGTTTCTCTAAGGTAAACAACGCCTTGTCCACAGGAACAACATGACCGTATTTGATTGCAAATAGTCCCCTGCTGGCAAATAATCTCCCTCCTCACTTTAATTAGTGTCTTCATGTAATAATTTCTATTCTGGATAAGGCCACATTAGAGGTCCCAGAAAATATTTTCATAATTTTGAAGAAAAAAAATGAGATGTTCGCAATATAATCGATCATGGGTGTGTTGCTGGTCAGATACTGTATGAATAGTTAAGAAGTAAGTCTTGTTTGGCCCATTTTCCATGTCCCTGTGTTCTGTTGTGTTTATCTATACATGTATACTTAACAGGATGGAGTAAATTCTAGCTGCCATACCAGTTAACAGTCCAAACTGTGTTTTTTTATCAAGGTTACCCCATGTTTTTGGTTGTGAAGAGTTTCAATATTGATACTCAGGAATTGAATTCTGAAAAATAAACCTGTAATAACTTTGTCTTTGGGATGGATATCAAGTTTTTTCTCACGTTAGAATGTCTGCACCTGGGAGTGAGGTAGCCAGGACGTGACATCAATTCAATGATCTCATTAATAGTCTGCCTGAAGATGATGTTGCTTTTGTCTAAGTTCAAGTAGTAACCAATGATAGTACATGTACATATGATACCACAGTAAGATCAATATCTACAGTACTGTTACAAACAGTGAAACTTTATAATAGCTACATCCTACTGTACACCTCCATTTTCTATCACCAGTAAAATTTGTCTTAACCCAGTGTTTATTTCACCTTTTACATACTATTACTATATATGGTATGCTGTATTTCACCTCTTACATACTATTACTATATATGGAATGCTGTATTTCACCTTTTACATACTATCACTATATATGGTATGCTGTATTTCCCCTTTTACATTCTATTACTATATATGGTATGCTGTCTTTCACCTTTTACATACTATCACTATATATGGTATGCTGTATTTCCCCTTTTACATTCTATTACTATATATGGTATGCTGTCTTTCACCTTTTACATACTATCACTATATATGGTATGCTGTATTTCACCTTTTACATACTATTACTATATATGGTATGCTGTTTTGGCCATTATGTTTACCATGTTATCATTATAGAGGGCAAAACAATTAAGCTCAAGTCAAAACTGCAGTTAAATGTCCTGCCATACAGTAATTAAACGGGAGTAATAGAATGGGTGGGGAGGGAAGTTGTCTTAAATGAGATATTTAAAAAACAAAATTAATTACTAAACCCCCAAATGAATACTATATATATATTGAATTTTATAATTTGTTTTCTTAATTTATATATTATTGATTTACGATATCCTTTTGTTGATCTTTAGACGATTCCAATAGATAAATTTAATTTCCCTCCACGAGTGTTTGTGTATCCAGCCAGCTAGCTTGGTCATCAATACTGAATGAGAAACCCTTCATTAGCAATGATGGAGCCACACTGACTATCGGGAGTTATGTAGTCATGTCCGTGATCTTTTGGGGATGAGCCGTGATGAGCCAATGTCAGTTTACTTGCCAAAAGCTGCTGAATCAGGCCCCCAACAAGAGACTACCTGTGTAAATTAATTTTCATTTGTACAATGGATGGGTTTAATTGAGGAGGTGAGAGTAGGTTCAGGCTTGCTATCTGCTCTTGCAATTTTTTACATTTCAAAATTTGATTTTTTTTCACATTATTGCAAGAAAATTAACTAAACAGTTTATCATTGACTTGGTACCTCAACGATGAAAATTTCAAGGAAAGGAGGCCATCTCAAAATACACAAAAAATGTATTCAACAAGAAAAGTTAACCAGAATCGGTGCCATGGCTTCCCTTCGTTGGTATGACCCCTACCCCCATTCCCATACCTTAAAATTGTGGATCAGGCCCTGAAAGTTACTTATCTTGAATTGCCCTTGATCTCCTCTAGATGAGTTTGTGTACTCTGCTTCAGACTAAATATGATATTTTACATTTTAATTTAGACATTTGTGTGGTAGAATAAATAAACAACTGCAAAAATCTTGTAAACTCACACTCCTGGTCATATTCCACTCACTCCACTCCCACTACCGATTAGATAACCACAAAGTGCTTTACTAGGAAAACAGGACATTGATTTTAACAGTCAGGGGAGTACTTGTACAGACAGCCGGGGATTATTCATTTCCAGGCAGATTAAGATCAGAGTTTGTTTTAATTTCCTGATTTTCTGGCACATGTAAGAATTAAATGATCAAACATGTATTTACATGGCCATTACATCACAGTTTACAGAACTTGTTTGTGGGTGATTATAAAGGATTGTTTATATCCTGCTCAATGTAAATATCATGTTCAATTACCTGTCAAAAATATTTTGTAAATGTGCAAATACAGTGTTCTTTGTTCCATTTGTAAAAACGATAAATATGAACTAATCTAGTTACTGTATCAGCAGTTATCTTAGCACTGCTCCACTTGCATTGCTATGTGAAACCAAACATGTAGTCAGTCCTGCTCACATGACCACCTCTATAATAGGACACCACCTGTGTTAAGATACCACTTTTAATGTTCCCTGTAATTGTTGTAGTGATTTCATGGTGAAAATAACCTGTATTAACTCATTCACCCCTGAAATCTGATAATGAACTATTCCAACCTTTGAATTGGAAGAGTTCAAATGTGTCTTTAAGGGTTAATGAGTTAGGAAACCACCTGCATTAAGAGACCACTTTTCAGACTTCTAAAGGGTGATTCAATATGTTGTTTATATCAAAAGTACAATAAAAGTTAATAAAGAAGCATATGTTCCATTTCCCAATTATATATGACCTTGCACCAATGGCTTCAAGGTCAAGGTTATGACATTTTAGTTGGATACTTTTTTTTTTATATAAAATTTACCTTTTTTTCACTGTCTTTGATTTTCTTTTTCTTCTTGTCCATTTCACGTTCAAATTTCTCCGTAAGATCCTTAAGCTTGACTTGCCACTCCATATTGAGTTCGTCTGAGATCTTGCGTATCTCTTGGCGACGGTTCTGGGTGATCTGCTCCAGTAGCTCATCTTCTTCCTTACGATGTTCCTCCTCCAGTCGCTTCTGGGCATGCAGCAACACATCCTTACGCTTCTTGTACTGAAATACAGGTAAATGACAATGAAATATACAGGTAAATGACAATGAAATAAACAAGTATCTACAAAATCCAGGTAAATATTTATTTAATTTTCAGTTTTAGTTACCAACTGCAATATAGCTGTTGACTTTTGACAGTCAATAAGCAACACATGTGTATTTATATGAAAGCTATGATAATTAATAAGGAGAGATTGGACAAGGTCCCTACTTCCCTTGCCTCTTGGTCTCCTTCCCTCCCAACTCTTGGATTCCCATCTTACTCTCCATGCTCCCAGTCTGCAGACTCTTAATTAAGTAGCTTACACCTCAACACATCACACAAAAGTATACTGGGCCAAAACTTCATCTGTAACCCCCATAATCAACATATAACCCACCTCCCCAGCCTTCCCCACCCCCGATCCTACCCTAGGCCTTCTACACCCAAAGTGCATGTTGGGAGTAGGGGGGAGGGGGCGGGATCTTCATGGTATATTATGAACAGGTACAATTGATTAGGTATGTAAAGCTGGTGCAAACTGAACCAAATAACCCGGGAATTATATGACACACATATATACAGGCATGCTGTGCAGGTATTTACGTGTGTATATATGACTATAGGTATTTTGTAAAGGTATGTGCCATTGTATTAGGAAACTTGTACTCCAAGACCAGGGCTCATAATCTACAATAAACCCCTACAAACATGCACGGTCATCTCTATATAACAGACTGACCCTGGGAAATGCAAGACAAAACCTAATTAAGCAGATGATATTATAGATATTGATGGGGCACTCTATGGGGTAGTACGTACTGCATGTTGAAAATGAAAACCAATATTTTGTATACAAAAATACACAAAATAGTTACCTAACCCATTGTTCCTTAACTAAAAAATATCAAATTGAAACTATACAGTGTTTTTCAAAAAGTTTATCGAACCTGTTGTTGACATTTTATGCAGTCTCGTAAACACTATGTTTTGACAAGTACAAAAAGTACCATGGCTGCCATCATAGATTTGTATGATTGCCAACAGCCTACACAATAGCCGAATAAACAATCACAACACTGACATACAGGGCAGAAGAAGACTACCATATATGTCTTAATTCTCAGGTTCCTGTGATTTGTGTCATTTAGTAGGCAAACAAGGTTAACAGTGTTTTAAATTAATGGTGTAAAATCTACATCTGTAATTTTGAAATTGACATATAGCCCAACTTGGTCATTTTTTTTAAAAAAATATTTTAAATTATAAAGGCAAACCTTGAATTACTGTATGCAAATATGGTTCCATTGAAAATTACGAGAGAAAAGAGCAAGACGTTTTTCCTTGGATATATCTGGAACTTTTATATCTGTGAGAAAACATGCTGTGTTAATTCTATACACCTGCACCACTGCATTTAATTATTATTGAGAATTGAATTTCAAGCGTAATTGTCAAAACTCAATAAACTAATATAGATATAAAAGAAGAAAACATTTTAACGATGAAAAAACTATTCAATGCTATACAGTAGAAAATTCATGTGATTCTTCAACTGTTTGGGTGCCTTACTTGAGTGGGAATAAAGAATAAAGTACCCCCTTTGATTTTATGAACTGACCTCTACCTCTGTCAGACAAATGCTCATTGTAAAATTTAACTTCACGATTTAATAAACAGAATAGACTTGTCCTTGTATACATATAAATAAATCGTTTAACCTGTTGAATATAATTTGTGTACGATTCCCTGTCTAAAACACTCTAGTTGTGCCTTTGTACAAGACATTCAGCTAAGTTAGATAGGAAAGACATGTAGACAAGCCGAGTTAGAGGTGTATAAAGACATGAAGACAGGCCTATAGTTAGAGGTGTAAAGACAGTAGACAAGCCAAGTTAGAGGCGTAAAGACACAAAGACAAGCCGAGTTAGAGGTGTAAAGACACAAAGACAAGCCAAGATAGAGGTATAAAGACATGTAGACAAGCCAAGTTAGAGGTGTAAAGACACATAGACAAGCCGAGTTAGAGGTGTAAAGACACGTAGACAAGCTGAGTTAGAGGCATAAAGACACGTAGACCAGGCTGAGTTAGAAGCATAAAGACACGTAGACAAGCTGAGTTAGAGGTATAAAGACACGTAGACAAGCTGAGTTAGAGGCCTAAAGACACATAGACAAGCCAAGTTAGAGGTGTAAATACACATAGACAAGCTGAGTTAGAGGTGTAAATACACATAGACAAGCTGAGTTAGAGGCATAAAGACACGTAGACAAGCTGAGTTAGAGGTGTAAAGACACGTAGACAAGCCTAGATAGAGGTGTAAAGACACATAGACAAGCCTAGATAGAGGTGTAAAAACACATAGTGCTCTTTAGTGCTCTCTAAATGCTTTTAGTGGCTATATCTAGCTTTTAGCTTTTAACTGTCTAAGCATTTTTAAGACATTATGCCACTGCAAGTAGTGTAGCAATTCAAGCAGCCCACGATCCAGTTTTTAGAAATCTTATACTAATGTAAATAACTTTTAAAATCTCCAGACTCCGAGTACCGTGTACATGTGCATGTGGTGAGGGACATTGTTCCTGTTTTATTGGATACATATCGTGAATTTTAATGGACCAACCCAAATAGTGGTTTTTATGACTTTTTAATCCATATATGATATACCAATCACTCTCCAGGATCCCTGGACAGCTCCTATACGAAAGGAGGACAAGACACTACAACAAGACATAGACAAGCCTAGATAGAGGTGTAAAGACACATAGACAAGCCTAGATAGAGGTGTAAAGACACATAGACAAGCCTAGATAGAGGTGTAAAGACACGTAGACAAGCTGAGTTAGAGGTGTAAAGACACATAGACAAGCCAAGTTAGAGGTGTAAAGACACGTAGACAAGCTGAGTTAGAGGTGTAAAGACACATAGACAAGTCTAGATAGAGATGTAAAGACAGTATATCAATCTGAGGTCCATGAGGGTTCGAATCCCGGTCCAGCCCAACTGAATTTTTACACACAGAACACTCATGTTGATTATATTTTGTTTATTTCACCTCTATTATTTTTCATAAAAGTCCAACAAGGTATGTTTTTTTCATAAATTATTTTTTCAAAGCTAATATCATGCCGAAGAAATAAGTTTTCAGTGCTTAGTTAGATCAATCTAATAAACCCAATGTTGTTTTGTGTTGTGACCCCTGGTTTTGGTTTATAGAATTTGTTGCCATGGGAATCAAACCAATGACCTTGTGTCTATAGAACGGACACTCAATCTTTACCTCATATGTTTGTAATCATGTGAATGGAAATATGTTGACACTGCCAAAACATTGCATTTCCATTTGAAGAGCTTCTACAAGGAGGTGGACTGAATTCAGGGTTACAATGTAAAAAGGTGAAAATCAGAAATGTGGCCAAAATAATTTAGAATGACTGAATATTAAATTTAGTGAAACTTCTGACTATGAATTCATACAATGAAAATTAAATTGAACATAATTAAATTGCAATAGCTATTGACAGGTATGTCAACAGTGGACTGATATCCCCACTTCTAGCTGAAACACCTTTTGTGTAGCAGAAATAGGTCAGCTATTCCATTGTCCAAATACTTGAAGTGATTGGTCAAATAGCAATTACAATACTCCAAATATTGGTCAATATTCAAGTACAAGTTAGTCTACATGGGTGAAACATCAGTACATTCCAATCTATTTATAGACACAACCTTACTGGTATCCCTGGTGATGTCAATACAAATCCAGAAATCAGTCTACACCTATACCTGTCTGGAGCTAGTCAATGGCTTGTGACTTCAGAAAAACCTGCCTTTGGAGACAACGATGAACATGTGTGCTTATAATTTGTAACTTCAGTCAATACTGACTAAGGGCCACCTGTGTGCTTGCAACTTCAGTCAAACCTGCCTTTGAGACAACCTGTGTGCTTATAACTTATTTCATTCAAACCTGCCTAAGCGACCACTTATGGTCTTGTAACTTCTGGAAACCTGCGTTTCAGATGACCTGTTTATAACTACTGTAACACGTCCTAAAAGCCGCAAGTACATAGTGACCAGTTTGACTGACCAGAGGAAAGCTGGCCAAAGGACAGGCACTTAAGTGACAAAAGGACAGAGAACTCGAGGAGGGGGACTGACAGGCTACCTACTCATGATCACTCTATCAAAGATATGAAAGGTGTTTCATACTTCTAAATATGGTCAGGCTCTCTTTTGATATCTTTCGCTGGTATCCCTTTTTTCGTATGTATATTTTTACGACAAACAGACTTTTCTGTTGACAGTTACCAGAGGGCAATCATGAGAACGTGTATCATTCTGTCAAGTGACACAAAACTTTACGTGTCTGGCCCCAACAACAGGGACACGAGAATTTGTTTCGGTCGGTATTTTCACCTATCCTGATCTATGAAGAGTAATATTAGAGTGGTTAAAAACATCTATTGGTAAACAATCCAATTCACCAAGTGTTGATCTAAACCCTTAACACGTCTAAATAAAACTCTACACACATATGATCGTGACAGGTCCAAATATACATATGGTAACAAAGTCTCGGGTCCCTGTGGTCCCCAACACGTGGGAACGGAAAAACCCCCAAAAAACAAATATTCAGCCTGCTTCAATATCCTCAAGCTCTTGAATGGGTCACACTCGGAAAACAAACCCCACGTCTAATAAACCTGTAGAAGTATAAGGACATTTTTTTAATTTTGTGACTTGTCGGCCACTGTCATTCCCTCGCCCACCCTCTCATGGAATTCAGGAGCTAAGCAATCACGTCTGAAGTGTGTACGGTCGTTTGAAATTTGTTGGTGAATTCTTGACAAGATGGCCGTTACACGGGTATAGATACCATTCCTGGATGATTCAAATATTGTCTTGAACATGCATATACAAAAAGTCCTAATGGTAAAATAGCAGATATTTCAGCGAGTCAGGGCGACCCCTGAACAACTATCGAAATGTCTAGGTCTTGTAACGAGGCAGGTACCG